CTAACACTATTACTTTATGCCTTATTTATCAGACGATTCTGTGCTAAATTATTAAGCAAGTAACCTTATCCCATTGTGTGTTCTTTATTCTCAAATATTACACGTGTATGACTGCAAGTGCCCAGAAGATCGACCATGACGTTCTATGCCAATATGGTATCTATAGAATGGCATGCTTCTGACAAACTGATGCTTTGCATCTATGAATAAAGCCTATGTTCATTGTATTACTGAAAGATAGAAAAATGAAATGGAAAATCATGAAAATATTCAGATCAGATATTTAGAGAGAGAACATTGTTTATAAACTTCACCCAAACAGTCAGAAAAGTTAAATTGACGCGTTATAACGACCGTTTTGCGTTTTATCTTGTAATGCATTTTACACAGTCAAAAATGTCCGAATTTTGACGTTTTAACAATTGCATTTTTTTCAGCTTTCACATCGTTAAAATGGTAGAAGAGACAAACGATTAAAACGCATTTTCGAGATCAACGGTTTAAAACGCGTAAAATCAGACATTTTTGACTGTGTACAACGCATATTAACTAGGGAAGAATAGATATAACCCACATACTTTAATATTACAAACAATATTAAAATACAGTATTTACTAATAAATAAGAGATACCAGGTAACATCGGCTCGAAGAAAGTCGGAAGTTAAAGAGCATATAAACAGTAGTGTAGTTTCATTTCTTTTCAGAGAATAGATTCATGGTCATGTAAATGTAAATATCGAGTGATAGCTGTCTAGCAATTTTTGTTTGTTTTATTTTAACTTCCAAATAAAAAAAAAATTTACAAGAAAAGCTAACTCAAGTGTTAAGGATCTCATGCATTCTAAATTTAAATTGTCGTATCTTGCTTATTCACTAGAAGATTTTTTCACTATTTGGAAGATAAAGTAGAATGTTAAATTTCGCTAGAAGAGTATTGCTCGATTATTTACAATTACATGACCATGAATCTAATCTCTGAAAAGAAATGAAACTACACTACTGTTGTATGTTCTTTAACTCCTGACTTTCTTCGAATCGATGTTACTTGGTATCTCTTATTTACTAGTAAACACTTAACTTTAATATTGTCTGTAATATGAAGGTATGTGAGTTATATCTATTCTTCCCTAGTCTTAGCCACAGTTCTTACTTATTGGATATATTTAAAAAGTTTTTCGAAACTAAATAATGAAGTAGAAAAAATGAAGCGCACGTCACACACTATATTTCTCTATAAGCACTATTCACCTAAATATATAGCACAATGAATCAAGTACCTAATATAGAAGTTTCTTTTTTGCTACTCTAAATATATTTGGTAATGCCTTTGCATATTTAAAAAGTATATGTTGTGGTCAAAATTCAAATTTTAATTTTGCCCAACATAATGTCAATCAAAATTCAAATTTTAATTTTGACTGGACAAAATTAAAATTCTTTTTTTAATGAAAAGAATAGGGTAAAATTTCAATAAAAAATGTATGGATGCGGGTGAGGGTGCTTGGTTTTGAAGGGGGTGAGTGTAGGTAGGTGTGAAAGGAGCAAGGCTCTAGGGTTGCCATTTTGCTATTAATTTATATAAATTTAAATCATCGGTAATCAAGTTTAAAACAAACTAAATTTAATTCATAATTTAAATTATCAGAATTTATATTTAAAATAAATTTTGCTTTAGACAATTTAAATTTATTTTTAACTTTTAAATTATGAAAAAAAAATTAAATTTACTTTAAATGCAAATTATGAGAAAAATAGCCTAAANTTCATTCTTTTTCATTTGTCAAATCATAGAAAAAATTTTTTTATAATTTATTTCGACAAATATTTTAAATATAAGTTAATCTAATTATTCAAATAATCTTTTCATTAATCTCTTTATCGATTCTTTTTTGCTTAGAACATATTTTTACACGATTGATTAATGAGAAAAAAGTCTAGCTTTGTGATTATTATGAAAATAAGTTAAATGTTTTTCCATCTATTTTTCTAGGAAAACTCTTTTATTCTAATAGACAAAAAGAATTTATCAACGTTCCATAACGGTCGCATGGCCAAATGGTTAAGGCACCCGCCTACGGAGCGGGGGATTCCAGGTTCGAATCCTGGTGTGATCGGTTAACTTTTTTATCATCTAAGATGATAGCTAAGATGTTGTCATGATTTATTTTGACAAATTATTTAGAAATTTGATTTATTAATCACTTAATTCATTTTCTTGTTTGCTTAGAAAATATTTTTTTTCTACTTTAGACGATTTCTTTGATCTAATTCCTTTTCCTACAGAAACTTTTCTTTGTCATAAAGATGAAAAAATTTTATCATTTCACAACTGTTGTTGGTCCATGAAAACAAGTTTCACTAAAAATACGAGGGCTGTTGACTTACTTAACAATATCATGGTGCCTTGATGAAACTTCATTCGTTGTATTCTTTCTAATTAAAATCATAGAGTATTTTAATGTATTTCGAAGAAAATATTATTCAACAACAAGAGAATGTAACTAAAACTCCGCCTTCATGTACTATTAAAAGATCGCCAAAAGTCGTAGGTTTTATCAAAAAAGATTTCAGTACGGTTTCTGCCTCCGCTATCATTTTATTTTCCTGTCAATTTCTGTAATCGAAAAGAATATTCCGAGATGGTTCATGCGGTTACGAAGCTCGCATTTGACAATCGAATACGATGACGAATATAAATAGAGAAGAGTCTTCAAAAACTATCATAAACTTGAATAAAAACTAGGCCGGAAGTAGACCATTGATTAAAACCATAAAGATCATTTAACTAATTTCATACCACGAAGAGTTATCTTAAAGTATTTGAAACTGTAGAAAATACTCAAAATGACTTAAAATTATCAAAGCTTTTTAATGGTCTCAAGAGACATTGTAAATTATAATTTCCCAACTGATATGTAACCTTTTAGAGTATTAACTACCATATATATATATGCTATTATAAGAAGTTCAGTCACTAGTGAATACTTTTCATGAGCTTAAGTGAAGTATTTTGGTTTCTAAAATTTTCGAATTATTAAAAACAACTTTAAATGAACTCTAATCGGTTTAGTGATGAAAAGAGTTTTTATGATTTTAACTTGAATTTTTCTTGATTTACTTTATCGCATTTTCGTCCAGGGAAAATTTCCATGATGATCTCAAGAGTATTTGTTAAAGCTGAAAAATCGCAAAAATTTACCAAAAGTAAAAAAAAAAGTACTTAAATTAAAAAAATCAGCTCTTTTTTCCTTAATAATATCTGGTAGTACCTAGATACACATGGTAGAGGTAAGTATTGCATTAGTTGCTAACAGTATATGTGCAATAGGCGTGACTATACAACTCGTCATCCTATCATGAATCATCACGTGATAGTAGTAGTCGAATTAGTCATTTGTGAGTGATCCTCATTCTTTGTATTTATGCATCATGATACATTACAATTTAGCATTGCTGCCAGACTATTGAGAGTAACTTGAAGACAAAGTACTTTAAAAACAGTAAGCATTTGCATAAAGAAAAATCCAGCTAATCATGCAATTAAATTTTGTTTGCGGTAAAATTTCAATTGATATTTTAATCGCCTTTCACAAGAAGATTTTCAAGGACATTTCGTGAACAACTTCAAACCAAAAAAAAAAGACGTACAATTGTAGACCTTGAATAAAGACTTAGCGGTGAGATTCATGATTTATTAAGGACTCTTTCTTTCATTACCGACGAACGGTAATGAATACAATCTATTTTCTAGAAAAAAAACTATTTAATAGTCTTTTCTATTTATTGGTCACATCATAGGAAATTTTTAATCGAGAATGACCAAATTTTCATTAAAAAAAGTTTTTTTTTTTCTTTTGTTTTTAATAAATTAAAGTGATTTGTTTGGAGAACTATCACACTTAGTATAGAGAAACATAATTGATATCTGGTATTTTTCCTGTTAAATACAACGAAGTTTCGATATGTTTTCGGCTTGAATGCAGTAAAATGCTTAGATTATTCAGATGATCAAAAGTGTTTACAAATGAAAAGATCGAGTACAGTGACTATCGGATCTAGAATACTGCATAAATATTCTACATAATTTTTCAATCAGATTTACAAACTTTCAATTCATACATGTTAGAAAGCTCAACGGTCTGCACCGTTTAAATTTATGTCTCATTCTCTTTAAACAAGAATTGAAATCGCTGTTTATATCGATGCTAATACTACGAAAGAAACATTTCAGTACACTCAGAACACTTTTCTTTTGCATTCCTAAATCATTTTTATCGAAAAACACATGGTTTTTCGTGACATCTAAGAGCCAAATCTCATTTTCATTGAAAATTTTGGCATCGAAAAAGCTATGTTTGAATTATGATTACTGCAATTTGGTTAATCGCAACGTTGAACAATATGCAGAGGTCGCGTTCTACAAGAACAATTTACAACATGATGTAAAATTGTGAAAGATTGCGTACATTAAATTCTCCGACTTATTTCTATACCATAGAAAGCTTTTGATTCTAAGGTTGTACTTAACGAAAGAAACCGTAGTTTTTATTCAATTTTTTTCCATAGGTGGCCCAATGACCAAGGTATTCATCGATGACACGGGACTTCTAGGTTCAAATTCTCATGTGATCGGTTCATTCTTTTGCATTATATAAAGTTAGAAAAGATTTTTCTAATGCTTCACGTCAATACATGTCTTAAATAAAAATTGATTGATTAATCTCTTCATTTATTTATTGATTATTTTTTCTTAGAACCTATTTTTTATATCGTTGTTCAATTAACAAAAAAGAAGTTACTCATTATGGAGAAAAAAAAATTTTTATGTTTTCCATCTAATTTTTTTTTCCTATGGAAAATCCTTTTCTCTAATAAACATCAAGAATGGAATATCTGTTTACAACGGTCGCATGGCCCAACGGTTAAGGCACCCGCCTACGGAGCGGGGGATTCCAGGTTCGAATCCTGGTGTGATCGGTTAAATTTTTTTCTTTCTACTTACTCTGTTCTATGTGTTCGTTCAACTGTTGTTCCAAGTACAAATTGTTCTCCATATTCTGATAAATAAGGCCATTTATCATTTGCTTTTCTATAACGATCTTGTTGATGAGCTTTGTCTTGTGCATATTCAGCAACTGTTTTTGGTTGAATTGAATCTAATATATGACGACGATTTAATTCAATATTTGAACCAAACCATGTTGTATCATCTTTAAATAATAACGAAAAAAAAAAAATTTTTTTTCGTTGCTTTTTATTTTTTCAACTTACATTCATTTCTTTGTAAATAATAACCATCATTAGGTCGTCCATGATCAAATATAATTTGACCTGAACGTGCTGTTGGTGGACGACGAAACATATCAATTGAAACATATCTTTCGACCGGTATACCTTCTCGTAAATGTGCTAAAGTTCTTTCACCTGCACGATTTGGATGCCATTTTGGATATCCATCTGCTGTAGAACCATTATATTTTTCGGGTAATTTTGATGTATAAGCTTGCGGAGTAACATATGTATATTCTGTACCACCACCAACAGCACCACCCGTACGTAAATGGCTCATTGGTAATGAATCTGTCTGACGTTGACGAAAACGACGAAATGCTCCAGTTGATGTTGAAATACGAGATTTATCAAAAAATACTGGACTAGCCGTACGATCAATATTTAATTCTTGTTCTTTTGTCAAGATTGTATATGGTGTATTAGGTGAACGTGGACGAAGACCTTCTTCAGTATACTATTAAATAAAAATTTATTAAATAATTTTTTATATTTATTTTTATACTTTAGAATAAGGTTTAATCAATGATGTTTTTGAACGTAAAATAGCTTGACCCCATTGATTGATATCATTGTTAATTTCAATATTTCTTGTTTCACGTTGAGTATTATCTGTTGAATTAGTATTCGCCATTGATGATAATACAAAAGATCAACAATTTTAAATTCTTAATGGATGACTATCTATCTTTAATAGCGATTTGTGGCTTTGTTGCTTAGTAACATATACTGATAAAAGAATAAAAAGACTACATTGATAGGAATCTATTAGTATAAGTGAATAGTATATTTGAAAAGAAAATATTGATGTAAGAACTTTTTTAAAAATTTTATTGTCAACAGATGACACTAGATATTGAATACAAATCATAGATTTAGTGGTATTATTAAACAAAATTCAAATAATGTCATAACAACCGTTTTTGATCGATTGATCTTTTGTCAATCGTTGTTGTAATAAGTAAACTTTCAATTAAATTCTATCCTTTGCAATAATTTTTAAACTAAACATAGAATTGACTTTTTTTTTTAAACGAAATTTCATTTGACTGAACATCCTTCGATTTTAGTAAGAAGAAAGCGTTTTTTTTTAACAATGTACAGAGACTACTTCATTCGAAAATAATGCATATAGTTCACTTTTCTTTTCTGTTCTTATGAATACTTTTCATCTATATGAAAACGCTCATTTTTTGTTCTATTTGACCGTAAATCAATACATACTTTTTGTCTGTAATAGATTCAAATAAAATGAGAATAAAAACGTCGTTTTATAATGCATTATTATTATTTTTATTATCTTTCATATCTACTGTTCAATGTAGTCTTCTAAATATATCTATGGCTATACTTAATACTCAAACAGTTATAGTTTGTAGTTTATCTATTGATATTTATTCATTATTTGATCCAACTCAAATTATTAGTTGTCCATCTGTATCAATTGAACAAGACAAAATTCAATTGATTAATATGAATATATGTATGTAAGATTTAAAATCATTTAATTGTAAAACATTTTTTTATTTTTCAAATAGCTTTTGATAATTATAATCAAATCGTAATAGAATTAAATCCTCCAATAATATCTACACCAAAATTTTTGATTAAACTTGATAATAATAATTCATTTCTTTCTCCACCAAGTATCAATAAAAATTATACATATTATCTTTCATTTTCATCTGAACTTAAATGTAGATTTTCATTATTAAATAATGAAACAATTTGTTTTTATTATTCAATATCAACAAATTTTATTGATATAGAATATCATTATGATAAAATCAAATATGATAGTTTGATATTATTGAATGAAAGTCGACATCGTGTCTATATTATTTTTATTATAATTACTACACTTATCATTATATGTGTTTTTGCTACATATATCTTATATAAAAATGGATTTTCACTTCGTTACACAACTGAATTAGATGTTACTATTGATTCAGAAATGGTAAAACAAGATGCAGGAACACTATCAATAGATCCACCATCAGATAATGCTATTAAACAACCAATATTAGCTGAAGATTTTATTATTAAAAAAACACATACGATTTCGAAAATATAAAATAGAAAAAATGACTCATTTTTTTTTGTTTATTAGTTAAATAGAAAAATTTCTTCTATAATATCTGTAATATAGAGAAATAATTTCTATATCAAAACAAATTGGTAATTATTTCATTGGAATAGAATATCGAATTAACTTGAATTCTTTTCATTTTATTTGAAACAACGAATAGATTTTTTTTCTTAGTAACTTTCTAATACATTAAACTATGTTTTTACTTGATCTCAAAAAAAAAATACGAAGCCATAAAACTTCGTCAAAAGTTATAAATTATGAATGACATAGATTTACGATTAATATTGAAATGAATTCAAAATTTATGATTATCGTCATCGAGACTACTCGATCAATATTCTACTAGACAATTCTAAGATTTCAGATATTTTATCTTCAACTTATATTAAAGAATCTAAGCAATATTATTCTATATTGTTTGTAAACTTTTTAACAATGTGAATTAAAAGAACAGAATATTATCATGATAGAATAAATACAGACATTTATAATTAGCGTACGCTAAAATGAAACTAAACAATAGGATAAAATTCTTTTTGCTTTCGTTCCAAGAAGTGTCGATTTACAAAAAAAAAAACAATGACAAAGATTTTATTTGTTCGTTCATTTATCATACAGTTTTTGGTTTATATTTTTGATAAAAACTTAATAGAATTTGTTCGATTGTCTTAACTTTGGTCGAAGGTAAAATATCGAAAATAGAGTTTTATTAACCTTAAATAATATTCTTATTTTACAATCATAATTTTTTCTTTTGCTGTAATGAAATGATGTTGCTATTCATTTGTTTTTCTTCTACTTTCATAAAAATTCATCAAATCTCATATATTTGAGTGATTTTAATAAATATGAGAATTTATTCTATTATGATAACTTGCAATTATGGTCTAGGTATGTTTTCTCTTCAGCCAGACACCTACATTTATATTAGAACACTTGATTTATTTTTAGTAACACAATATTTCATATTCGAATGAATTAGTTCACTCTCTTTATTTTTACAACAACAAAAAGAAAGAAAATAGTATAAGTCTGATTTGAAGTTCTTGTTTAATACGATAAGAGTCAAAGTTTGATACTTTTTCATTAATCGAACAAGCCAATCCAAGGGGGAAAAGCGGATCCTGGTGGATCCTGGGATCCATTAGGATCCGCCAGGATCCATAGGATCCTGGGATCCATTAGGATCCGCCAGGATCCATAGGATCCACCAGGACCCACTAGGATCCATTAGGATCCACCAGAATCCATTAGAACTCATTATCATTTATGAAGATAGATTAATGTTCTGAATAGCCACAAAATCAAGGAAATCAACCAGATTCATAAAATAAGGATGCATAATTCAAAATATGTTCTGGATGAATCAATGTGAGCACCATGNTATCTCGTGATGTTGGTGCGCGTGTCGGCGGAGAGGTAGGAGGAGGAGGGAGTAGGTGGGGGTGGTGTGGGGGGGGGGGAGGGGGGGGGTGGGGGGGGGGGGGGGGGGGGGGGGGGGGGGGCTGGAGTCACACATCTAATTATTCTTCATTCACTTTAACTCTATCAGAATCACATTTGATTAATTTTTTTTATTGATCGGTTTTCCTAACTAAAGTCATAAGCCTTAGAACAGTCAATCGTCTATTGTTACTGTATACATCTTTTAGAATTTTTAATTTATTTTATTTTATTTCAATTGGTTATATAAAAAAAAGGATTAATTACGAGGAATGGAACGAACAGAACGAAGAAAATTGTTCTGCAACGATGTGATCGGTTGCCTGAAATTAATCCACCGTTTGGACATTGGAAATTCATGGAACCTAAGGAGATCAAGTAAAATCTAGTTTTTGGCGCACTTACATCGGGATTGTATGTGGCAATCTTTATAGCCCCGTCCGCCAATGGAGTTGTGTGTGACAACGTTTCCAGCTATCTCATTGTAGAATGGCCAGTTGTTGCAAATAAATATAATATATAAGTCGAATTTGGATTACATTGCTGCGTAGAATATAATCAATTTTATTGTTTATTTCTTTTTTTTTGAAGATAAATTCATGAAAAATCCATGTGATTCATTATATTTTATCTGTGATCATTATTTAGATATTATAATTATGACACGTTGTCATTTGTATCATTGTCTCTACAATCACATGGATCCTGATGACTTTAATAGATCAATTTGGATCTGTTTATTAGTTGATTATGTTTTCTATTTTCATCCAATGTATTTTGTAAATTATCTCGAATATTTTAATTTTTAATTTTAATTTTAAACATTTATATCGATCAGTTTTCTTCAAATCTATGGAAATATTTCGTTTTTTTTACGCATGTTTTTCTATGTTTGAAGTGACTTTTCCATTTCCATTTTCGAACTACTTTATCGAACATATCGATATCATTCTTCTTTTTGCCTCTGATTTAAACATTATCATCAACCAATGCCACATTTAGAGCAATATGGAAAACGATAATTGATTTTTTCTCTCAACTTGAATTGTTATACTTCGGTTTTTGTTCGAAAATTTTCTCGACAATTATTCTTTTAATTAAACATTACTGAACAAAATACTACACATTAGCATTTTTTCGATTAAATATAAAATAACTAATACATCTCGAAAAGATGTAGAAGATACCTCATCATTAGTTATACCCTTCAAAATCATCTGATGAGTTCTATCAGCAAGATCAAAATCGCTATCACAGTAGCTTTATTGCACCGTTACTTTTCAATAATGATTTCAATTTTAGTGAGTTAGCCGTCGAAGAATTCTACTTCCGAGAGACAGCTCTTTCAGTTTAGCTGTATTGATATAGTGTCTCTGTAATTTTCAAAATATTTTCGAATTTCAGATTTCATTATAAAATATATTAGTCTTTTCGTTCTGTACACTCGTATTTATAAATTCAAACTATCAAAAACTATTAAAAAAAAATAAGGAAAACAAATATGATATTCTGAATCACCATAGGAAACTAGGTCAAAGAACATAGATTTCATTACAAAATATTTTTCATTGGAATTTGATTCTTACTCTACCCTTATTTCTTTTCGATTCATTTCGTCTATGATTCTCCTCACGTAAAACTTCAATGAAAAATATTTTTTAATGAAACCTATTAAATAGTTTTTTACTCAGTTTCTTATGCTTACTCCGAATATAATTTTCGATGATTAAACTTTCTAAACATAAAGACAGTTTTTATGGTATTATGACTATTATTTAAAAAAATTATCTTTCTCATCAAAGGAATTACAGCAAAATAAAGAGAACCATCTAATATTTTTCACAGACCCGGTACGTTTAGAATCACATTAAAAAAAACTTCAGAAGTTTTTTAACCGGAAAAGTCAATTCCTTTGGGAAGTCTGATAAGAAAATTTCTTAGGATTTGCTAGAGTTCAAAATAGTTTATTTCAACAGTTCCAATCAATTTATTTTCTCGTAAACTACGTATCACGAAAAGACAAAAACGATTTTCTACAATTGCACAAAACGAAAAAGTTATTATATTCATATTTGAAATTCAAGACTTTTTTGAAAATTACAGAGATATTTTTACGAGCTGACTCATGTGCTCTATCCAATGATGCATAAAAAAAAGAAAAAATTGCGAATGTTTTGAGTTGTGTGCCTACCTTATCTGAGACGAGCAAGCCTTTTTCTTTTCTCTATTATTTGTTTTTCTTTCGCAAGAAAAAAAAACACATGAGTGTCATTTGATTTTCTTTTATGCATTATTTTTATAACTCGTCACTTTCCACAGAATATATTGTGTACGAAGCATTAAAGCAAATATTTCATCATATTACGTGAAAGAAATTTGTATGTAGAAATGATTGAATTTATTGAAGTCAATCTTCATCTGTTACAGGGATTGACGATATACTTCAACTTACAGTTAAGTTAAGATTTCCTACTTAACCCATACGATTGATAAAAATAGATCAGCAGTCATCAATTAATTTCTTCATGCTAATTGTTAACGAATCATTTAATACTTTATAATAAGTTTAAGCGATTTAGTTAGGTAAATCACATTTTATCGTAAAGTTTCCAATACGAGAGATGCCAAATGTACAGTACAATCTATTTCGTAGATATTCGAATATGAATGTGAATGTAGGTGTGGTAAGCACTGAAAACAAGACCCATGCAAGTACACACTAACACTCATATCCTTCCAAGAGTTTCTTGAATTGTGTGAGTGAAGCTGCACTTTTGAGTTTCAGGAGTTAAGTATTCATGGAATCCAGTCTTGAAGTGATTCTTTATAAACATATTCGAGAAAGTTTTCGTAGGAAAATGAACAAAACAAATATCTTATTTGGATAAGCGTCACGTATTTTAAATCATCATCTATTTTTGTCGCAAAGGAGTGATATTTTCAAAGATTTTGTTCTTAATGTGGCTTCATAATAAATTTTCACTGAACGAAAATGAATTTTTATTTATTGAAAAAAAACGCTATCCTTCATAGAGAGATTCATATATTAATGAGAGAACATTTTCAAGTGATCTACTCCTCTTGTCCTCATATTTTGCCAATATGGATTCATCCCATAGGAGTCTAGTTTTTGTACAAAGTTATCCTTGAGAATTTCGAACTGAAACTTTGTATATGAGATAGTCTAACCAAGATCTTTATGTATATAAAGCTTCAGGTTGAAATTCTCAAGTATAGCTTTTATCGAAAACTTGGCCCTTGCGAAATAAATCTACTAAAAATTCGCTGTCTCGACCAAATATAAGCAAGAGCAGAAAAACCTTTAGAGATTACGCTATCATACTGATCTTCTACATATTAGCAAAATATGGGGGCAAACGAAGCGAATCATTTGAGAATGTTTCCTCGTAACCTCAGATATATTTTCATTGAATTCTGACTTCTATCGATAAACATCGATTCATTTCAAAAGACTTTGATCGTTCTCGAATAGAATTCGTGAACTATTCAAGTCTCGAATTTAATCAAGATTTGCATAATTATTAAATCGTAAGCATATAATTCGATTGATGATTGATATATTCATGTTCCGATATTTTTATTGAACACATTATTGTGTTATATTTTAGACTATTGAACGAAATTTTATTCGAATCCTAAACGAAGAATATTGAGTAAATCATCTTATTATTATTTTATATGTGAATTCATTTCAGATCGAAATATTCTCATAATAAATTGCATAATTCGATTAATTTTCTTCTAAGAGAAATGGCAACAGGAAATGAATCAAATTTATGCTCAATATGCAATAAATCTTCAACTAAATACTTTTGTATTGGATGTAAAAAATACTTTTGTCCCACCGATTTCAAAGAACATGAACAACAATTATCAATGAAATTTGATAATGAAATAGTTCGGTCACACGATGAACTTCTTGACCAAATCCAAAAATTAGAAAAATCAAATTATGTATCATTGGATCTTTTCACTCGAATTGAACAGTGGAAAAAAACAACAATTAATAAAGTAGAAAAAGCAGCAGAAACAGTTCATCATAAACTTATTGAACTAATTGATAAACAACGAATAAGAATAAGAGAACAACTTGAACCAATTACAAAAGAAATTCGATTTCTTCATGGAGAAGAAAATTTTCTTGAAAATGATATTGATCGTCTTCAAAACAAAATCAATGAAATTCAACAAATGCTTGAACTATTTATTCAAAAAGATATAAATAAAACCATCATTATTGAAAATGATCAAATTGATTGGAACCGAATCATCAAAATTCGAGAAAAACAACTGAACTGTAAGTATATTAAACTAACGGTATAGAAGAAAACAAATTTTCCAACAAATCAATCAAATATTGTTTGTCATTCAAATTTTATTTAAAAATAATTTTAAGCATCATTTACAGTATGAATAGAACGATGCTATAGAATTGTCAGTTTCCTAATTAGTTCAATTATGGATATTTACATTTGATTGTAGAACTTCTTACGCTGCAAAGTTTTATTCTGAAACCTCGTTAAGATGAAACACTTCGATTTGAATGTGAACTAAACAACACGTTTTCACTTCGAGGGCCAACAAAAAATTTTATTTATCTGCATGATGAGTTTTTCGAGATTAAGGTATAGAATTGAAATTAAGAAGAAAGTGATAAATTTGTTTTCTAAAAGCGAATGAGAAGAAAAGAAATGCTAATGTTCGACATATCACAATGATTTGTTCATTTGCATTTTCCCGACATAAAATCGAACGAAATGAAAACTAAGATTGTTGGATGTATCTCATTTAGGTCTGAAAGTGCATTTCTCTCAATGATTAATGTCGTTTGCCAAATTTTTTCTGCGACAAACAAGTTCAATCATGTTAGTTAGAAAGATTTTAGACAAGTGAATATCTTCTTAGAAAAATCCTTCTACCATCTCACATATTCTCATTTAATGCACATAACATATTGTGAAATCATTCGACTTTTCTTTACTAGATGAATCCATTGATTTGTTGCTCAGAATAGTAAATCATACTAAATTTCTTTATTTATACTCAATAAATATTTTGAAAGATGAAGATTACTTCTCTTTGTTGATCGAAAAATATTTTGTCTCAGCTACATCAAAGTTGAATTGTTGAACAAGAATCATCAACATATTCTATTTTGAGAGTGAAAATGAACACAAAGTATAATGTTTCGAAGGAAATAGAAATGATACTGAGTTAAATTTTAAGAGGTTTTTCTTTCAAATGTTGAACATCGGCATGGCTCTTCGGACGTTCTAAATGAAATACGACTCGAAATTGTTAAATATTGTTCGAACATGGACTTAGGATGCGCCGAGAAGAAATTCCATTCAACTTTGATGACTTAGGCATTCACATCGAATGGAGAAAAAAAAGTTTTTGAGAGGGTTCGAGAAAAATCACAAGATTATCTGAAATTTTCAAGTTTTTTTTTTAGTTAATTTCAATACTCACATAAATCGCGCGTTGACATTCATCAAAATCAAACAATAATTCAATTTCGAACAATGAACTGATGGATATTTGTTAAATATTGTTGAGTCAGGAGTTTTCATAGTCGAACAGAAACTCTCATGTTCCTTTCTTTCTTGCAACACTCTCAATAAGCTGAACAAAACGATGGAAAAGTGATGGGGAATTTTCTTTCAATGATAGTAATCAACAAAAAAAAACACTTGAGGCTCGATTCTCATCAATCTCGACTGGCACTCGATAAAAAGCAAAGAAACTTGTCATGCTATGACTTTCTCCGTGAACTTTTCTCTGTTAAAATGTGTCATTCATCTTGACTTTTTTCAAGAATCAATATTCTTATGAAGTATTTCAAAACTTTTGTCTCACCTGTGAAGTTGTGAATGACCAGAAAAATTTCACAATATTTTTCACATTATGAATGTTGGCCTGGTTAAAATAATGCAAATCGAATTGAATGAAATTGCATCAAAATTTTTATTAATATATTGATTGTTTGTTCATCTAAAAATATATTTTAATTCATCAATGAAATCACATTGATAGTTTTCAATCTGAGTTTCATTTCCAAGAGAGTCTTGATGACATTCAGTTGACTTCGTTTCTTGGAAAAATAGTTAACGAGAGCAGTTCAATTGAATCAATGTCATAATTGCAAAAGCTGAGACAGTATTCAGAGTGTCCGATTGATTTTAATCGAAAATCAACAGTCATTTCAATCATCTATAACCGTTTTTAACAATTATCTATTCGAAGAAAGGAGTACTGTCAAATTTTCTTCACTGTAATGACACTGCATTAACAAAGATTCTTGAAAACATGAAACTTCTTTCGATCATGGTAAGATGAAGAGAAAATTTGAGCTTAAATTCGAAGATTTGAATGTTAATTATCATATAATAAAAGTTCTCAGTTTTCTTTCCATTCGGAATATCATAACAACAAGATTACTGTTTAGGCATTATTCAATATGAGCACCGAGGAAAACAGTTCTTTCTCTTCCCGTTCTTGATCAAAGTTCTCTACTTCGACTATCACTATTCATCTATATAAATTTATTCAATATCAATTGACAAATTGTTTTTTGTTTCAGCATCATTACTACGTAGTGTAAATCTGAATGCAAACGCAAAATGGATACAGAATGGTGTTACTATTGTTGGAGGAACTGGAGGAGGCAATGGAATGAATCAAATCTATCATCCAAATGGTTTGTATGTTGATGATGATCAAACTCTCTACATTGCTGACTGGTCGAATCATCGTATTGTGGAATGGAAATGTGGTGCGACGACTGGCCGAGTTGTGGCAGGTGGACATGGAGAAGGAAGCCGTCCTGAGCAATTGAACAGACCTACAGATATGATTATTGATAGAGAAAGAGATAGTTTCATCATTTGTGATTATGGTAATAAAAGAGTAGTTCGATGGCCTCGTCAAAATGGTACGAATGGAGAAACAATCATCTCGAATGTTGGATGTCATGGCTTGTCAATAGATGATGATGGATTTCTCTATATTGCTGATTTCGATAAGCATGATGTTAGACGATATCGAATGGGAGAAAATCAAGGAACAGTAGTTGCAGGTGGAAATGGAGCAGGAAACCGTCTCGATCAGTTGAATTCTCCGGTATACATATTCATTGATCAAGATCACTCTGTTTACGTATCAGAGTACCGGAATCATCGTGTGACGAAATGGATGGAAGGTGCAAAACAAGGCATTATTGTCGCTGGTGGTCATGGTCAAGGAAATAATCTTACACAATTATCAGTTCCTTATGGAGTTATCGTGGATCAATCAGGTACAATCTATGTGACTGATTATGCGAATCATAGAATAATGCGTTGGTCTCAAAGAGCCACACAAGGTAGTGTCATCGTTGGTGGAAATAGTCAAGGAAGTCAATCGAATCAACTCTATGGTCCTATCGGTTTATCATTTGATCGAGAGAACAATCTCTATGTGAGTGATAATCAAAATCATCGAATACAAAAGTTCAACATTGATCGAAATTGATGATTTTTGTAAATAGACTTTGCTATAGCGTTCTTATCGCCATCTTGAATAAGTGATCGAACCATAAAGTAATTTCGAACTGAAGTATCTTATGTTGGCTAGCAGATCATCATGAATCAAAATGAATAAAATTGTTTTTCGTTACGTTCATATCAAAGAATTCTATTTTGGTTATTTTGACATTATTTATGTTTCTGTTTTGTTATCGAATCGAAACACTTTGAACAAGCCATTAGAAAATCAGCGACATCAAAACTCTTCTGTACTTAAAATAGGCAAATGTACAAGAGGACTTGAACTTCAATTCATCAAATAATTGAAATTCACGATATCCAGTGAATAATAATTGAGAAGTACTCTAGAGATATTGAAAATGTTTTCTGATTTTCTGTCGTTTGACAACAATGAGTGGCATCGCATCAATGCATTAAAATCACTGATGAAACTCAAATGTACCATTTGCAAACATTGACAATTAGAAAGAAGAGAGAATAGATCTTTACTTTAGAGTGTTATGGTGAACATGAAAGACAATAATCTAGAAATATTATATCGAAAATTCGTGAGGAGAGTGAGAGAACACTATTTTTCAGCGATTCAAATGTCTTGAAGCATTGTGACTCGATGAATAATTACTTTTTTCCCGATTCTTTATCGGATGTCTTTGACATCTTAATCAGATACGAGAAAATGGACTGTTTTGAGATTGAGAAAACAACTCATGTCTAAATTGATAGATGATATTGAAAGATGATTGGATTTCTCCTACCGATTATTCGTTCCAATAAATCTGACGATCATATCGATCCATTCATCACTAAGTAATATGACGAATCCTTGAAGATTTGATTGTATTACTAAGACCAAAGTCAAATATCTGAATAATAGCAGTATCGTACTCGATTATTGTTTCATCAACAAGTTTTCTTTTGAACATGGTGGTTAACGATGGTCATATGCAATGAGAAGAGTCGTTTTCGCATTTCTTCTTCAGAAAATATCGAAAAAAATACGAATTCATTGAAAAGCAATAAGGTTTCTCGATTGATGTTTTCCCATTCGAAATAAGATTCGTAATGTTAGGTTAAATTTGGTGAAAGGAAAAGAGGAATCAAAATCGAAGAGATGATATCATCGTTACACGACAAAACATTTCATATGATTTAGTTGACTTTGGAAGACAGTGATCATAATGAAACTCAAAATGACTAAATAATTTCATGAAGATGAGAATTTCTAGCTAATCAAAATTCGAGTACATCGCATAAGATGATTTTCATTAACATCAAAATTTTCAACTCTTACAGACATATTCACTTTAAAATGTCAGAATTGAAAATAAAATATTGTTATTATTAATGAAAAGAGATAGAAGAAGTTGAGTTTATTTTTCTTTCATAATGAAAATGTTAATCTAGATGATGTAGCAAAGTGGGAACAAACAGAAAAAGAGAAAGTTGTTAGTCGGAGTTTGGGCAACAATGGTAATGAGTAGATGATGTCCGTTAGAAATGGTTCACATCTCCATCCAATTTGACCTTCCTAAATGGCATAATCAATATTTATACCAATCTAGTTAAAATCAGACACCTTCGAATGAATATTCGAATAAATTAACTGTTTAGTCAAGATGTGCAGAGGCTGTACAAGTGTAATAGGAAAAGAGAAGATCCATGTTGACAATTTCTTCTTTTTCAATTAAGTCGGATGATGATTGGCGAACAATAGTGAAAGAATAATCGACCTGTTTGATGAAGGAGACTCTCAAAAATGCTTCAACGAATTCTACTGCATTATATAAATATTCTGAATGATTAATAGGCAATAGGATTTCTTATTTTTCTCATGTTTCCTACTTCCTTTATAAATTCTCCTTGAATATCTTTCTTTCTCTATTGCTCATTAGTCATGAGATAAAGCTTTGATTTTTCTGATTATCTTAGGCAATTCGAAATCGAAATAGTTGTAGTTGCTTTTTGCAAAAGGATCTATCAGTGAACAATGTTTCTTCCATGATGATATTGTGCATATTGTAATACTAAGTTAATAGTGTACGAGTTCAATACTTATTTTGAATTGAAATCGAACAAGATTTGAATGATTTAACTGATCGAAAAAAAAAAAGTCACTGCAATTGAACAACACGTTAAACATTGAACAATAGCAAGTATCGATGATATTTTATTTTTTTAATACGATGCATTCGAAAATTTATTGTACTAATATGAAAAAAAAAAGCTCATTCATTTTCATTGTTAACTTTAGAGATATGCACAATATACTTTATCCTACCCTGCAAATCTCTGGTCAAGAGCAAATTTTATTCTCGAGTTGTTATCATAGAAAAACTGATGGTGTTGCTTTCTAGAAATCCTCTAGTGACCATTCTATAGCTTACAGTATCTTATCTATCTAATTTTTTCTTTAAACTTTCGACTGATATTGATATCAGTCGTAGCGATAATGATCATCGTTATATCTTACACAATATCTTCTCTGTAACTAGCAAAACAATTTATTTCAAAAAAAAAATAACTTGTTCCGTTCTTTCCAGATTTTATTGATTTTGTGACTCTTTTCTTCTTCAGAGGATGCAGCAAGGGAAAAAATACTTTTTTTTTTGACTAATTGATAGTTTGTGGAGTTCATTACAAGACATGTTTCCAAAGCTTCTGAAGTTCATGCTTTATTAACTTTTTCTTTTTGAAATCGTTCTACAAATGGTCACTTATGTCATTAAGGGAGGATAAAAAGTTAAATAACTTTCTTGGTTTTTAGAAAAATTATTTTATTCGTAAATGGTTTTGACAAAATATAACGATTGATCATTAATACATGACTGTAGAACGAGCAAAGAAATACATTTAATATTAAGTAAATTGCTTGAAGGCATCGCATAATATTATTCATGTCTTCAGGAAAATTAGACGTTTTATTACTAAATGAAGGATTCATTAATACATATTAAAAGCTATTTTAAGCTATTATCTTTGTTTTTTATTTTATATTTCTAATCAACTTAATTTATGCCATCATAGATTTGCATAGAAGTTAAAAACTTATTTAATTGAAATAAATAATTACATAAGACAAAAGCTGAAAAATCATTATTATAGTTTAAACATTCATTGCAATTTTTATTCAATAAAAGAAAATTTTTAGTTAGACTCCTTAAGAAATTATTGATATAGAAATTTTATAGTAAACTATTGATAGATTCTTGTCCAAATAACATAATAAAATCTATAAATCCGATTTCTTTTTTGTTGTTCGTTTATTGTAACGGTGTAAAAGTAAAGTAATCAATGTCTTATATTTCAATGTACAATAAATACTTCTCTTTTACTATATATTAACGTCAATATACGTTGTTGTCTTTTTGGATTTCCATTCTTCTAGACTCTTTTCTTTCTTTTCTATTTGCTTCAAACATTGATGACAAGTAGTTATTATTAGATATACAAAAAAAAAAAAAAAAAGGCTAAGAATGAATCAAATATATAACTTTGATTAACTTATATATACACACAATAAAATAGCCAATGAACAAAATAATGTTTTATATTCTTTTAACACTTCAATTCTCTTGGGAAAAAGACATTGCCAATGATCTCATATAATTAGAATTTGTGAAAATTTTGAATGATTCTCAAAACTTATCTGACAAATTTTTACATGCTATTTTCTATCAGACTGTCTAAAGCTAATCGAATATCATTCTAGTTTTTTTTAATGAGAATAATGAATATATCATTGTGTAAAATCAATAAAATGATATTATCTATGTGTATATCAAGAATATATTGAACAATATGATGTAAAAATTAGTCTCTCACAATGATTAATTTTCACTGTTTATCTTTCGAACATACCTCTAATCGTAAGATGATAACAAAAATCTTCAATATACATATCAAAAGACCAATCATGATTTGTTTTTGTTTTCAACAAATTAAAATTCGAAATCATTTTCCATGTATAATTATTCGTATTTCTCTTGAAACAAAAAAAGAAAAAGAAAAAAAAAAACGAGGCCAAAATTCCAATATTACACAAAACAGAAAAAGAAAGAAAACCATGAAATTATTTATACATGTAGAAAAGCAAAAGAAACAAATGGAATGTAGAATAAGATAGAGATTAGACCGGGTTTGTTTTGTTTGCTTTTTATTTTTTGTCTCATTTCGGTTATATCTCTATCGATTAAAAGAAAAAGAAAACGAGAATGAAAATTTATTATCGATGATCATCTGATGATTCATTTTTTACAGCAACAGCAGCAGCAGCTGCAGCAAGATGTAAATAATATCGATCGGAACCCGATGAACGTGGTGTAGATGATTGAGAAATAAATTGATAATGTTGATTATTATTATCCCATGAATGTTCATCATCGTTTTTATTAGTTATATCAGATGTATCCGATTGATTTTGTTGATTATGTTCATGTTCATTTGATTCATCTTGTTGTTCATCATCATTTATATCATTTGAACTATTATTTCCATCTTCAGATTTTAAACGTTTATGTTTAGTACGACGATTTTGATACCATACTTTAACCTAAATATATTATTTGATTTTTTCTCTAGCTTTCGGTATTCATCAATCAATTTTAAGTTGTTATTTTTACTAATCTATCAGTTTTTTTTCTTCTTCTTCTTCTTCTCCCGGAGGAAACCGTCATCATTTTAGTGTATTTCCTTTAGCAAATACCGGAATTTCTTTACTATAACATATCCGTTTTTCTAATTGATGACTTACTTGAGTTTCAGTTAAATTTAAATGTCGTGCTAATTCTTTACGTTCTTGTCCAACAACATAATGATTTTTTTCAAATGCATTTTCAAGTTTAAGTAATTGAGCTGGCGTAAATGCTGTACGTACACGTTTGGGTTTACGAAATGAATGAAGTATAAGTGCTGCAGCTGCTTCTGGACCTATGAGTAACGACAACAATAAAAAACAAAACGTAAATTTAATTTGAAACATAAAAAGAAGAAAAAAAATATATATTATTACTAGTAAATCTTCCATCAAATAATCGACCACCATTTCGAAGATATTGAAGTTGATATTGAACAATAGGATCTATATTAGTTGGTGGTGGTAACCATGATGTTGGAGGTAAATACGATGGTATTGTTGGAAGATTATGTCGAGGAGAATGTTTTGATGTATCATCATTTTTAATAATATCATTTATTGAAAATCCGATTGATTTTCGAGCATTTGATGTTGTAGCCATTGGTCGACATGGACGATGAACCGGCATAATATTTTATTTTTCTTTTGTTTTTTTTTTCTATGTTCAATTGATCAATACGTTTTACTCTCACACTTTAATTCAATTATGTTCGATCTTCCGTTAGAATGTTTTATCAAATTCTTTTTCTCTCGTCTAATATTGACTCGCTGATTTAGTAGAATAACACAACAGCAAAAGCAATAGAAAAATATCTTTTTTTTCTTTTCTCTCTTCTCGTCTCTTCTCTTCTCTTCTCATTTCTTTTTTTTTTATTTCGATCTGGTGCACATATATAGAGAGAATGTGAATTAATTTGTGCTGAATTACCTTCTTCTTCTTCGTCCTATCAAATGACACCTGAGGCAATAGACAATATATCAAGCTTTACAATGATTGGATATGTACCTAAGAGAGACATAGAAACGATTTAAAGGCAATTATAGTTCTCTTCTTCTCTTTTCTTTTCGTCGTGAACGATTATGATTATTGTCGAAAAGAAACATGATCTATCATCAATTGGGTAGTTGCCCTACGTTGCGGACCAATGATGTTCGTTCTATTAAATATATCGACACACTTTTTTTCTATATGTAGTAAAATAAGAATATGATATATATATGATAAAGTATTAAAAAAAGTAAAAAGACTCGAAATGAATTTATACAATTGATTGGCGTCAGTTTTCAAATTAATGATCTCTTTCATTAGCATATTTTTCTTTACAATAGTATATATATATATATGTATATAGTGCGTCATGCTGTTTAGAACAAAATGAAAAAATAATTTTAGTGTGCTTATCATCATCATCATCATCATCATCATTGAGTTGTATTTATTTTCAAACAACATGTGTTGCCCTTTGAAGCTGCTAGTTCTTTATTTCTTTTTCTTTTCCGTGTTTAAACATGTCATCGAAGTCAACAGCTGTATCATGATGTGAAACAAACGTAAAAATAAAATTTTTTTCGAAACTATGCAAATGAGAATTGTGTTTCTCAGGGTATCATTCATCCGTAAGGATATATTGATTCGATTAATTTTAATTATGTCATAACACTAAGAGAAAAAGAGAGGGAAAGAGAAAAATAGGTGTTATTCTTGAAACATCGTTTTCTTAAGCACTCGACACATGCGTCAATGGCCGATGGGCAAAGACGAGCAACAACAACAACAATTGATGATGTGTCGTCGATCGATGATCAACTGGGGCGAACGATAATTGCAAGAAAGATTGAAATCAAATTAATCCGATAGTGATTTTTTTTTGTATTAAACTTTGGAATAATCATATATATAAATCTATCAAAGGGATTATTATTTCATATGAACTATAAATCTATAAGACATATCTTTCTAAATATCAATTCTTTTTTTTTTTCATACAATAAGAAAGAAAAAAAACGGATATTTGTACATGATTGGTTGTGTATATTTGCACAAAGCTTCTGTACTATGTCACTTCACTTCATCAACACCCTTCGTTTGTCCAGACATCAATATACTCATTCAATCAATTGTTACTTTACTTGAGGGCTAATTCCAATTACAACAAGAAGCAAAATACAACATATATATACAATAAAAAAAAAAACTTTTAAAAACCATAGATATTTTTGTTTGTGAATGAATCAATAAATTTATAGTTGAATTGATTTTTATTTTGTTATCGTTATCTCAATTGCACATCATGTTCGATTGATTGACTTGCTTGATGTTTAAGAACGAAGGGAGGAAACTATTCAATTAATTTTTTATTCATCGTCTTTGATCTATTTAAGAAAAAAAAATCAACATGTGCACAATACTTATCGTTGTTCAGTGGACAAAATGATTAACCTTGAATAATAAAGCTTCTGTTTGCTCTTGAATATTGTTTGTCGCTACCTTGATCTTACTTTTGTTCAATAAGTAACAACTCTTAGATGCGCGACTGTAATAAAAAAAAAAAAAAGAAACAGAAAAATTTCAATCGCAATTCTTCTTAATCTGTACGAATATATAAGTGAAGAGACGTGACTTTCTAATCTCAAAGTATCATCATCATCGTCTAACACCAAAGAGAACAAAAAATCGTTTGATGTGAATATGATATGCGCCATATAAACATGATGTTTGATTAAAGATCATCGACTATTAACAATCAATCGATTGAGAATATAAAATTTTCTTTTTTTTTCAAACTTAACTACTACTATTTATGTATTGTCATATGAATGGTTTTGTTATAAATAATAAGATTTTGAAATTCGATCATTTCTTTTCCTCCTTCATTTTATTCATTCATTTATTCTACTTACCAATTAGAAGGATGAGTCTAATCACTATTTTCTTCTTCTGTCTATATAGATCGATGAATGAATGACAAGATAGATCTAGATGAGGATTAGTCAGGTGCATAGAAATGTACGCGTGTATATGTTTTTCGACACTAAGGTGTGAGAAAATTGGAAGAAAAACCTTGTTCAATCAGATAATAGGAAAAAAATAATTATTCAAAATTAAAAAAAAAAACGATTATTTTACATTGTCGTTTAGAGATTATTACGAAAAGAAAGAAGAGAGAAAAAAGGTGTTTTAATAATATATTGGAGAATTTCTTGATGAAGTAAGAGAAGATTCAAATTCTACAATAGCAAAAATACAACATAATGGAAATCTTCTTTTGTGTTCAGTTGATCAATGATAGGATAATTGAAGAAAAAAATACAACAGCTACATTAATGAAGAGACCAATCAATATAAGTTTAACACATGTCATACAAAAAAATTGACTTTTATAGACAAATATAAATTGAGTAGTGACAAAAAAAAAATAAATAATTTATTCAGATAAAACATGACATTTACCTTTCGTTTTATTCGACTTGAAATATCTACGAAGGATATTAACAGTTCATTTATTCAAAAATTAATTTTCAATACTAGATACTGTCATCGATATCATTTACATTGTATAATTAATCTACTATGAGACTATCCCAGCATTTAATACTATTATTAGAGCATTGTATTTCGAAAAAAAAAATTACATTATTACACTCGAAATCGTTCAGTTTTATTAATACTTAGAAGCCAATCATGTTCATTATAAAAACTAGAACATGAATAAATTTATGTATTATATATTTAAACATTTGATAATCATGATTAGAAATGAGATTAATACTTGAATGTAAAACAAAATAGATCTAGAAATGAATCGAATTCATATAATTCACTTGAATTAAATTTTCAGCGATAATGTCTCAAATAGAATTTGAGATGTATACTATAAACTTGAACAAGTCTAATTGTTTCTTTAAATAAAGAGTAAACAAACAAAGAATAAAACATAAATGCTATATATTTATATTCAACATCTATATTTGTTTCTTGCATCGTAATTTCATTGCTGATAATAACAACATTTGCTAACAAAGTATTATATTGAAAGTTCATTGATTTTTTGTATTTTTAGTGATGATGCTAGTCAATATAGGACCGATTTCGTTATAGTCATGATTATTTATGTTTAATCAATGATCACAAATTTGACAAGTTTTTACATATGTTATAAGAACAAGTGTTTGATGAATTCCTATGTGACTCGTTTGAAAAAAAACGTTGTTTTGTTCTTGCGATATTTAAATATTTTTGAAAGCATCATCGTCTAAGAAACACATTTTGGCGTTTGTTTTTGTGGTATTCATATTTTATTTAGAATCTATTCATTGGGTATGAAATTTTTACTGTGATCGAATATTAGATTGAAAAACTTTTAATAAGAAATATTAAGCTCAAAAGAATGAATTGTTGATGAGTTGACCAATATTGCAAGGTAATAGATGAAAAATTGATCTTTTATTAGTATTTTATGCATAATATATCGCATTATCGAATCATATTAGAGACCTGAAACTTTTTCAAAGAGGTCTCATTGAGAAATCACTCTGATAAAACATTCACATCTCTATATAGTTCCTATTACTTAAGATATTTTTGTTAAAATTATGATATGGCTTTAAATGGTATACTAAGTATTACAAATGCATGCAAGTACCGATCTGGGATGTTGTAAAATGGCCTACAGAATTCTGCTGGAAGACGTGCCTATAAATGTCTTTTTGTTCCTTTATAATACATACAAATTCGATCGAAAACTAATAAAAATAGTCAAAATGACAAATAAAAATTTTTCGATTGTGAAAGAAGTTATATATATATGTATATAATAAAACTTTAATTCAAGAAAAATATTGATTCAATTAATTGTATTAAGATTTTATATAAAAACTAGCATACGAAATATGTCATAGTTTTTTTCAAGCAGATGTGTTTTCAGTTATTGTATGTAGATGGTTGCTTCAGAGACTTGATGGTATGATCAATCAAATATAATTTGCAAAACAATGATATATCTTCGAACAAACGTTATATTCAAGACAAAGTTTTCATATTTTGAAATCTTATCTGAATTTAAGTGATATCTATGACATGAGCTCATAGTTAAAGTAATCGTATGTATACGGTAGAGGTTCAAACAGGCCTGATCTGCCAATGGCAGGCTGTAGATTGCGTCAGCTTGCCTGCGCCTATAATACGCTTATCTCAGTCTGGCATGCCTGTCTGTCTTTTTGATCGGCCTACCTGCCGTGGCCTGTGTATCTTTTCATGCTATCGTTTAGATGATATTTCAATGAGAATAGCACCATTTCTTGATAACAGACAACGATAAATGCTCATTTTTCATGTTACACCGTTCAAGCTACTCTACTGTAATTTTTGAAGTATTGTTGCTGCTCAAAAGTAATTTCTTTTTATTAAAAAATCATGAAAACTGTGACAGACAGGCGCCTGTCTATCCTAAGCAACCTGTCTGGCTTGTGTAAGGTCTTGGCCTGGCCTGAGACAGACTCAAAATTCATGGCCTGCGCCTGTCCCACGCAGGCAGGTCCAAGGGCCTGCTTGGATCTCTGGTATATGGTTGTTGCTAGTATATGTGATAAACAAGTTATCATAACTACCTGGACTAAGGCTTTTCCTAATAGATTAATTAATTTGATAATGATCAACTGAAACCTGAACATCTCGCTAAACACAAAAAAAGCGACATAACAAATATTTTTTTTCATAATAATTCGGTGCTCACCTTCATTCGTTGCACATTTTTGTCAGCATCTTAATTATGTCTGGATATATCCTGCAGGATAGAACCGTTTTTCTCATATAACTATTCGATTCGTTTGTCACTATATAGCTTATCATCTATACCTTTTCTCAAAAGCACAATGTGCACACTTCTACAGTATTTGCATGAATAGAAAAAAAAAATATTGCTCTTATGTGGTTTTTGCAAGATAAAGACAAGGCATAATGCATTTTCGGCCGATTATGCAAAGTGTTGTTTTGAAGAGAGAAAATCACATTCAAGAACGGATAAAATACGCTTATACGGTTATCAAATTAAGACAAGCGATGGAAATTTTGAAACTAACGACGATAATTTTAAGTAGTCGTAAGAGTCAATCGATCACATTCTTGCAAGATCGTCTAATTTCTTTTAGGATGTGACTTAGGAAGCTTAACAACTAAGTTAGTCTTAGCGTATTGCTTATTTCAATTCATCTATCAAAAGAGAAGGACAGACACTAAAAAAAAGATTATGTTAAATACTTTATGACCAAAATTTGATTAACAATTACTTCTGCAAGCACTTCTTTACTACTTTTTTATCATCTTTTGTTTTTATATATCTATACTAAAATTCATCAAAGATCATCCATGTATCCATTTCAGCAACATAGTTAAATGTATTTTGCAAGTAATGATTTAGATTTCATTTTTGATGATAATAAATTATATGCAAGAAACATGTGGTGTAACCAGAAAAAGTGATAGGAGGGAGAGAACACTCGACACTTTGACTATCTCTGCAGAGGTGGTGGAGACTGTAACATTTCTAGACAAGTTCAAGCCTTCGTCTGTTTACGCCAGTAATAACATATATTGCAAGCTTTTTGTTAAATTCTCATTGTTTTATTCAAAAAATTTTTAAGGGCTGTAAAAGTGTTCTCAGTGATTTCTTAGTTTTGCAATCGGTAAAAATTACTAGCCGGCCTTATTATTTTTTTAGCTTTTATATGCTTCCCTCTAGAAAAATTGATCATAAAAATGTTTCTGTCGCCAATTAATTACTTTTTTTTTACAGATGCTGAAGACTATTTTTGTGAGGAAACATCCATTAAACATCTTACGGAGTAAAAACTTATCATAGAGCATTGCAGATTATGCTAGATTTATTTGTATCTTCTTCCATGGAACGAGATTAAGTATAACATTCATTCATAATGTCTTTGTCTGACGAGCATTGAATCAGTATACACACGTAACAGCGAATAAATAGCCCTATGAAATTTTCTGTTCACCAAAAGATGCCAAGTCAAAAATAACTTATGCATATAAATAATGAAAAGCACTTTTGTAGTAAAATAGAAGTCCTTCGTCAGTATTATGATAATGATACGACCGATATAACCAGTGTAGGATAAGAAAAATATAGCATGACTTATGCTCGTCTGCCTGTTTAGACTGGTATCAGTAAGGAAAAACTTGTACTGGTTCTAATTCTGTTGGTAGTCTATCTTTAAACATAAGATATTGAGGTAATGATAGAATATTTGTTTTTTTTTTCCTTTAATAAATTCAATTCTTTTTTATTTTCTTTAACAAAGAAAAAAAAATTCAATCACTGCTTTAATTTTTGCTCAATATCAAAACAGATTTGATCGAGTTTATCACTCGAAACAAACATTATTTTTCTTCGATGTGTCCATTCTCCAGCACTTGATTGAACAGGACAATAATCAACAGACACTGTTGAATATTGTTGAAAGATTTCTTCTTCACCATTGACATAATAAATTGTATTTGAATCACTTTTATGTAAACGTAATTTTGCATGTATTACCCAATAATCTATTGGAAAAGTAATTTCCTGTCGAAGTGTACGAATAGCTGGTAAACTTATATCAGCTGGAATATTCATATAACGTTCGTTAATAAATAAACCACATTTCGAAGCTAAAAAAATAGATATTTTCAATAAAATGATTATGGGCGTGTAACTCAGGGGTAGAGTGTTCGCTTCGCATGCGAAAAGTCTTGGGTTCAAATCCCAATTCGTCCAGAAGTCTTTTTCTTTTTAATTTTCATTTAGCAAAAAAAAATGTCTCTTTTTGTTTAAATAATTATTTATACTTACATTGAAGAATTTTCTTTGCTTGTTCATTATCGGAACATTTATCTAATAACCATGCTTGTAATTGTTTATTATATTGTTGATCAAAACGAAGAATTGAACATATACCTAAGACAGGATTATCATCATCATCATCATCATCTGTTTCATCCATTGTTGAATCTAATGGTTGATAAAAAACACTGCCACAGGATTGTTGAGTAACCAATTGTGTACCTAATTGATTTAAATCAAGTATAGATTTTTTTATTGAATTACCAAATGATTGTTCAAGAAAATAAAGTATTGCATCACGATCAGTATCAATTGGTGAACGAGCTTCTAAATCAATTTGAACATTTTCTTGCGGATTATTATCCATAGAATCATCGGGATCTTCTTCATTATCGGATGCTGAACTAGATGATGAACTTTCAGGTTCGGCTGGTTCATTATTAGGTCGACGTTTTTTAGATGAACGAGGCATAATAATTCAAATTGATAGAGGTCTAAAATAGAAAAATATCGAGATTGAATAAATAAGAAAATTTCGAAATATTTTATTTCTATTAATTATCTTTCTATATTTTTTTTTTGCTTGACTCTTCTCTCATTGTTATGACTCATTAGTTTAAAAAATAAATTGATTGATTGATAGAACAACAATATTCATTCGTCTACTAAAAGGAGAAAAAGAAGACTTGCAAAATACGAAATATTTTCGGTTAAATTTAGAAGAAAAAAATTCGAACATCTTTCGATAAAAGTGCTATTTAATAATCTCTATAGATGTCGGTAACTGTCGTTTGCCATAAAGTATCCGTCTTAGGATATGTCGAAGTTCATTTACTGACGAAAACCTTTTCTCCATCATCATTCTGTAGAAATTATGTTCTTCAACGATTATAATCATTACACGAAATAGCCTGAGTAGAACTGAAGAAGTCTGAATAACAAAATAGTTTTATTAGGAAACAACCGTCATATGAGAACTGCTATAACTTTCATAAATTCAACTATTATCTCTAAAGGCTAGCAATATATCATGTCCAGTAACAATTAAAATTTAAAATAATGCATTGTCTTATTGTGTTTTTTTTTTTGACAAAAAATAATATTTCAGAGTTTATGACTTCAGTTTTCTTAAAAGGATGATTTATTTAATCAATCATTAAGTTTTGGAAAATATCAATTAAAAACTAAAACAAACTCATTTGAAATGTATGACAATAAATATATTAAAAGAAAATTCTATTTCATTTACAAATTATTTCTCAAATATAAATGATTACTAGAAAAATTTTATTAAATTAGAGAAAAAATTTTAAAAGAAATTTTTTTTTATTGAAAAACTTCAAATTAATAATTGAACTTTAAATATTATTTCAACATCACTAACAAGAAATGGTTGTATTAAAAATTTTTGTCAAGTCAAATCAAAAAATTCTTTAAAGATTCGTAGTTTATTAAAGCAAAATTTTGATAATTTATTTCAACGATTTTTTTCCTAATTGTTCTAATTCAATATAATATAAATTACGAGATAATTTATATAATTTAATTATTAATCAAATTGATAGAAGAATAGTACTTAAATATGGTTTTGATTTAATAAAAATGTTGATCAAAATACAATTAAATATTTATGAAATTGATAACAAGACATTCAAACCATGTAGCTTTTAAGTCGTATAGTGCTGTATTAACGAGAACAGTTTGAAATACTACCAAACTATTTGAAAATTTTCTTATGTTTCAATATACTTATTTTGAATTTCTAGTTTACATCTACTTAGTAAATGAAATTTCAATGAGCATTCGACAGTAGAGTGGCGGAAAAACGTTTAATAACTAATATATTTCTGATTCTTTTCTATAATATTAGACGTCTACTTCAAATCCAGATAATGATCTTAAATAGATCATGTAGTTTTCTATCGAATGCATTCTATGCTAAGGTTTCATAGATGAACTATGATGGCACAATCTCTAAAAAAAAATCAGGCGCGGTAGTTTTCATATCTGATTAGACTCTGTGGAAGCTATTCTTTCACAATGCTATCGTAAAGACAACAAAATTGTGCGGAAAATGAGAGATTGTTGCATCTTCTACCACCTTTTCTTAAAATGTTAACGGCATCAGAAAAGCTATCAAAAATTCAGATTTTTAAAGAGAAACTTGCAGAAATACAGCGAACTCTCATTTTGCTCAGTATTGTGTGCTTTTTACAACAGCACTGTTAAAAAGTAACTCCAATAAAGCCTTTTCTGACTTAAGATCCACCATGGTTGGCATTGTTAGAAACCTGACCAATGATAATTCATCTATGAAATCTTGATAGAGAATACATTAGATAGAAAACTTCATAGTCTGTTAAAATAGCTATCTCAATGTGAGCTCGATTTTTAACATTATAAAAGAAAATAAAAGTATTTTAGTTTATAGAATATATATGGTATTATAGTAGAAGAACAAAGAAATACTCTTGCAATTCAGTGTTTAATCTAATTCGTTGCGTGTTAAAAAAGGAAAGAATGAAATTTATCACATGATCGAGCAAAAGTAAATGTTTATGATGGGTCGAAACTATTATTTCACAGCAGCAGCATCGAAGACTTGTTTCTGTTTGAATTTATTGAAATATATTAATAAGTTCCTATGCATTTTGAGATAAATTCTACACGACTATTCAGCACATGCATGCATATCTGTACACTGTAGCAAACACAATGCATAGCAATAACCCCTACATCAAACTTTTCATAAACCTTCTTCGGATATATGTTGATTTTATCAGACCTTGAAGGGTTTATGAAAATACGATGTATAATAAATCCTTGAAGTGTTCATAAGATAAAATTGATGTATACCCGAAAAATGTTTATAGAAACTTGGTATAGGATTGATAAGACTAATAAGATCTTTTGTAGATTTTATTATTCCATACATTTTTTTTTACAATGTACTGTAAATGCAATGAAATGTTGACGCAATTAATAAATTCTAATAAGTCATGAGTAAATCAATGAATCTTGTAAATAAAAAATACCAACAATATGTCACTGGACTCCCTCGTTTCATATAAGGATGTGAGTGTGGGTTTGAGTGAATTGAAGATTGAAATCCACACTCAAACGCTCCCTGTAAACACTGAACGCAATATATGTGTTCCAACACGATTTTATATGAAATTGCATTTGTATGGACCAAAAGAAACTGCTGACACGCGTCTCCAATGAAACATTTCTTGCGTCTAAACGTGATTTTAGTTTGAATTGCATCTGATTCCAGTTTTGTTGGCAACCAAGTCTGAATGCGAGAAATGTTTCACCTTAGGCGTGTCGTAGCACGTCCGATTCATGCGATTTAGACGAAAACGAAACGTGACTCAGACACGTTTTAATACAAAACAATATTTACATGAGTGATTTGATATCTACGAGAAAGTATTTTATCAATATCAGTTATAAATATAATCTGTGTAGTTTGAAAAATGTTAAATGTTTAGAAATTTCCAAGCTTTTTTTTACAATTTTTTTGTTAGTCATATTATTTAATATTCTATTGAAAGACATAATAATAGGTAAGTAACCTACACATGTGCTACATTCGCTGTTTTCTGGCACTATGGTTTCAGCGTTACTCTTTTAGTTTCTGTATTCGAAATGTTGACATAGCTCTATGCGTTATTTGAAATATCATCACACAGTTCTGGCATCCATCTTCAAAAATTTTGAATTCCATCTACGTAGTGAGTAAAATGACACAAGGAAATTTCTTTTCCGATACATATATATCTTTAAGACTTCTGAAATTTTTTAGTAATGAAAAGGGACAAACACTTTTATTTATTATAGCTAAATCAAAGAAATAATGAATAAGAAAAAGTCGCATATTATTCATTGTGGCACAAAGCATAATATACTTCGATAATAAACATTTTGACTAACAAGAAAAACTGGAATGCAAGTCCTCGTGTATAATTATTATGACTTTATATACATAGAATGATAAAACTATATTGGAGAGTAGAAGCTGTCGCAACTATGATTAAAACTAGTCGTGAAATCTTGATACTTGTATATCCTCTCGCTTCGTGAACATTAAACTTCTAAGACGAACTAGCTACGCTGACAAAGTTCGAGGAAGGAAATATTTTGAGTGCAGTCCATGGTATTCCCATTAACAGTGATTTCACAATAATTCCATTTATTATTTGACTCAGTAGCAAAAGCTTGTGGACCTAGTATTTGCTATAATGTTATATATCCAACTATTCTTATACTACATACGCACATACCTAAAGCTTTGATCCTTGTTTAAAGTTATAAAAAGACTCCATACATGAGACTAGTGAAAATAATAAAATATCTAATTATATTTATAAAGACAAGTGTAACCTAACGGCTTGAGACACTTACTATAGGAATGGAAAATCTGTAAGATATTCCATTGAAATAACTTAGAGTGTTCAACTAAAAATTTCTTGAAAGTCTCACAGTGATCACTCCACGATTGATTCAAATCAAGAAATATATGGGAAAATACCCGTTGGTTACTAGAGCATGGTAAATACTTTGTTACAAAATGCTAATTTCCTTCAACAAATTTGGCTTCTTTGCAGTAGTTTTGGTGATTGTTAACGATTTAAGTATTGCATTCTGGTTTTAGTTGGAACTAGAGAAAAAAAACATTGAAATATGTGAAAAACATGATACTCATTGTAATGCATAATAACTAAACATAGACTTAGCACTCAATCTTTAAGACAGATACTATGGACTTTAGTAGGTTTGAATTTAATTTCCAATATATCATTCGATGGAGAATAGAACAGGCTACAATATAATGTTGTTATTTTTCTGATAATTGACTTATGACATGAATGTTTTGTCAAAATACTAGACAGATCGAAGTTTTTACAATGTCAGATGATACCGTATTTGAACTTCTTCTATTCTATACTGAGGTTAAAACGAAATATTGAATATACAATTTTATAGCGCGAGTCAAGTTCTATCGATTGATGTAGAAGTCAATTTGTGCCGTAAAAACATTTCAAGAAAAAAAAATCGAAAAGAACGATAGATTAATCTAGAAATTGTTAGTCAGCTTTTAGGGATCTGTTTGTGAAGAGCTTCAGATCGGTCCACTCTGATCGACCAGAAGTTGATCATGAGGCCATAATATTTTGGATTATTCTATGTTACACTAAGACCTGGTCCCCGTAGGGGTTCAGATTCGAAATATGTTTACCGTCATGTTTTGGCTATGTCTAGAATTTTTATGGAGCGTCTTTTGAACCAGGTTAAAAAAATAGATTGACTTTTAGAGGACAACAATGTTTTACAACGTGTATGTTGTTGGGTTCTATTTCTCATTTTCTTCTATTGCATTGGAGATATATTCCGATCATCCGGCAAGATTTATAATCCTTTAACAGTACAACTGGATTTAAAAACAGAAAGAATCGTCAGAGAAACGTTTTCGAAATTTGTTTTTCTGAGATGAATTAAAAGATCCAGATCTTATAATGCGGGAAGAGGTTCCTCTTATCTGTTGTATCATTCCCCATTCTATTGTATTCAGTTCTGTCTTTCTCTACTATTACTCTCTCTCCTTAAAATAGTCTTTTTTGATTAATACTATTCGTTGAATGAACTCAGTTCTTATACAACCATATCTTTTTTGCACAGAATTCATTTTGTAGATATTGAAAACATTCAACGCAAAGAAAGTTAAACGACGTTTTAAAACTTTATTTGAATATATATATATATATATATACATATATGTATGTAGATTTGAAATAAGCGTTAAAAGACTGCGAACGTTTTGTTTAGTCATTTCAAAAGTCAGAGGTTAAAAATGTTTTATGGTTAGAATGTTCGGATTGATGGTTGATTTTGTGTGTTTGGCGGACCAGGAGTAGGAAGACTTGGTACAACTCTTTGAGTGTTCTTTTTGCAAGTGATCATCATGATACATTCTCGTCGGAATGCATTAAATGTTATGAAATAAAGTGGAAATGATGTTATATGATATGTATAGAGAGCCGAATCTAATACTTTCGCAAGAGTAGTAGTTGGTGTTGTGAAGAAAAATGCAGCGACAATTGTTGCTGGTATAGTCATGATCAAAAAGAGAAATGTTGTAAGAACCAAAGTAATCGATATAGCTCGATGCTGAATATTTGAATTTTGAATCATACGCGTATTACGACGACGGATTAAATGATAGATAACACCACTGTTGAATGTAACCATCAATATGAATGGTGCACAGTTATACACACCCAAATTAATATAATCCCATAGTGGATATATTTTATACAATTGAGCATTGGGATTGATTGAACCACTTGGTCTATAAAAGCAAGTAAAAATAAGAAAGTGGAAATTGAACAAAGTAAAGAAGGTAATAATGCATGTAATAATGATAAGAACACTTTTTGGACGACTAAACCATGTACGATGAAGACGACTCACTGATAAATATCGATCAAGACAAATAAACACACGAAGCCAAGCCGATGATTGCGAGGCAAAGTAGTTAAGAAATCCAAAAGCCTTGCATGTTGCAATTGAATATGTTAGAAGTATGAATCCATGTGTTATTGAAAGATAATGATCGAGATTCCACCCATACAGCATGAGAATATCAAAAATGGCTATTGTACGCATGTAATGAATTATTGGTTGTTTTTTTGTGTCTCGGAATGTTGGTCGACATAGAATAAAAAATGTTAGAAGATTTAATAGGGTACCGACAATGACCAAGGTGAATGGATAATAGGCAACAATCAAAGCTTCGCTCGGCTTGACACTTGTTGTCGTACTGTTTGACATTGTAGAATGAACTGGGATTGAAAGTTCTTTTTTTCCTATTAAGATCAGATTAGTTGAATAACATAAAAAAAGCAAAGAAAAAGTGTATTAATGCTGTACCTGTCGTGTTCTATTTTCAATCTACTATATGTTATCCTATGTTATATAAACTGTGCCTTAATACTACCCTGTTTGTCTCTTAGGTTGGGACGCATACTATATTTAATGGACATAGAAACATAGTTTTATTTTGTTCCAGTGAATGCAATTACAGCTATTATGTTTATTCCATGCGGGAAGCCACACTAATGATACAAAGAAAAAAAGTAGGACACAATCTCATGTAGTTGGATGATATGAGAACTTATATATAGATATAATATTCTATCAAGATCATTGTCAATGGTGAGGGGTCGGACAAAATTACTGGGGTAAACTAGATGAAGCATTTCTTTGCTCACAGGAGAATATATGATAAAAAAAGTGCACCTTCTACAAAAGTATTACGCACTGCCTTTATCAACAACTTCAGGAAATACAGGGTATACAGTACATCCCAAAATTATCCAACAAGGCTTGTTTTCAATATTTTCTGCTCGCTTGAACGCTAAAAAGAATTCAAATAGTAATTTGAGTAGAGAATATTGTTTCCAACAAGAATTTGAAGAAATGGAAAACATTACTTGACTCTCGAAGACAGAGTCTCCAGAAAACCGAAAAACTAGTTTTTCAGCACCTACAATCCGCAAGGATCATTTTATCTGAACTACACAGAATGATAGAGCAAAAAATTCTCTACAAAATAAGGTGTTTTCGAATTCTCCACAATATTTTTTCAGCGAAATACATCAGTTCTACGGAAGGCTCAAAAGTCGTTTTTTTGCCATTTTCTGTACAAAAACTCTTTTCGGAGCTTTCGTAAAATGTGTATCTTCGCCAAAAACAACATTGTAGACAGTTCGGGAACATCTCATGCTATAGAGAATTGCTTGCTCCATAATTCTATGTAGTTCAGATAAAATTATATTTACGGATTCTAGATGATTAAAAACTAGCTTTCCGATTTTTTGGAGACTCTTCCTTTACGAGTCAAGTAATCTTTTTCATTCATTAAGATTCTTGTTGGAAACAGTTATTCCTAGTCAAATCACGATATGACTTCTTTTTAGCGCTCAGACGAACAGAAAATATTGAAAACGAGTCTTGTTGACTAATTTTGGAAGCCAGCGTATCTATAAAAAAGTTATTGAGGTGTTGCTTACTGACGGATCATAGACTGATTTTTAGTCCATGAGTCCTCTGTATCATTCATTTGATCAGCGAGAGATAAGCAGAAAAATACTTATTTTAGTGCAAAATAGAGATGCATTAGAATATCCTTTGCTACTTACATACACCTTTGCATATTCAAAACTTTCAGAACCCGATCAAAACTTTTTAATATGGTAGATGTTTTACAGATTTTGCGAACGTCTAAATACTCGCTAAAAGAATAATCTATGCAAAAAGCTTGCCACCAACATTCCTTCCAAAATTGTGCGCATAAGTTTTTAGTTTCAATACTCACTTTGTGTAATATATTTTCTTTTTTATTTAATTTTGTGAAACATAATTGGAACGAAGTGCTGATTTATATAGCAAGATAATCAGATAATCTTATCATCTTCACAAAACGTAAAAGACATGATGACATGTCCAATAAATCCATCACAAATAATGGCAAACATGACTGAAGCGGCTCCATCATGTTCATATTGTAATCTCGTAGGGATTAAAGTAGACTTTTTTCATAAAACTATTGTGCTTCACTCTCATATGAAAAATGAAAATATAATCAGCTTAGAGATGTTTTCTATTTATTTTCCAAGCAGAAAGAAAGTTTTTATTAGTTTCCAAGTTTCTTGAGAATACTCGAATAATAAGAAGAAGTAACTGGAAGATTCGACGAGTGAAAATAAATAGAAATATAATCAGAAATTTCCAAGTTTAATTAATCTGTAACTGAAAAAATAGTTTTTTTTTTCAATTTAGCTACTAGATCGAAGAGAATGGGATGTTTCTGAATTTTCTGATAATTTATGATTGACGTAAGTTTACAATAGGAAAATGACAACTGTCTGTTGATATTTTGTGAGCCATTCTTAGTTTGAAGGGTCTTATCGCTTCATTCTTCTTCATCTTTTTCATTTCACTCTAATTAATCAAACATAAAAAGCAGTAACTAAGTACTACCAAAAATAAAACGTATACTGTTAGACTTCTGAGTTGATTAAAATGTTTTTCATCCATCAATATAATGCTTTTCTTTGTGACAGAACAATGAGGTACCTCATCTTCAAACGATTTAAGTCTTTCGGCATGGCTGTTTCTATTTCTTTCTTAAGTTCAGAAGATAGATCATGTTTTCAAAATACTTCCTATGTCTATTTTATTTTTATCCGAATACACATTTAGTCATGTTTGCACCAATGACAGTCGAGTAATTGTAAAGAAGCTCTTGTTCACATATGATAATTTATCGATCGATATACAATCCAAAGAGAATTTCTGCTTGTCATTAAATAATAACTCCTGCACTATGATATTAACATATATATTATTCCCAGTTATGTGAGAATTTTGCCAGTATTTCTAGGAAAAGGCATATTCTATCATTACTTTGTTTCGATTTGTTGTGTTATTTGACTGATTGTAACAAGATATATTCACTGCTATATAATTTAGACTAGATCACTATGTTTATAGGACAATAAGTCTTACGCTATCATTTCAACATCTAAATTAGTTATCAATTAAATGAAAACTTCCTCGATATAGTCAAACAAAGACATATTCACGTACCTCTTTTTTCGTATGTTTCCGTGTCGTTTGATAGATTTCGTGCAGATCTATTCAAAACTTCTCCTAGTAAAAGTTCAAACGTCCACTTCTCGATTGAAAGATAAATGTGAATGAAATCATGACATAAATTTATATCGCAACATTTATATAAAATTTCTCACGGAAGAAAAAAACATGTGAAATAGGATTATTGAGTGTATTAAATTGTGCTCGATACTGCGAAAAGATTGAGTTTAAAGGGTAAAACAGCAAGAGATTATTGTTGCAGAGCTTGACAAAGGTATATGTTTTCCACTGTAGCAATTATTTCTTTGCCTGTTGCTAATTCCACAATGGATGCCAATTAAGAATCAAAGGATGGCAACATCGCTAGTTGGAAAGAGAATAACAACAGCTCACAAATGAATCTAGTTTCACAAGGAAGCTTCCAGGTATACACTAGGAGGGAATTGACTTATTAAAAAGTTTTTTTAGAAAAAAATGATTGCTTTTTTAGTAAAACAAGTTTTTTTTCGAAGAACTCTTTTCCAGTGAAATAAACACACTTGAAATTACGAGAAACCAATTACAGATTTGAATTACTCGACCCCAAAAGCCTTCGGTTAAAATTTATAAAAAGTCGTTATGTTTAGAAAGTTACCTTCACTTTTATTTGCTCTGACAGTTTGCGTAACTCCGCTATTTCGGTTTGAGTGAATCCTTCGACAAGAACTCTATTTCAAAATAACGTATTTGAGACAAAGTAAGGACAAGTTACTCATACAGCAAAACATTTACTAGGTCACCGCTGTCTTGATACATCTTATTTTTCAATAAATGCTCAGATATGCAATTATTATTATGGCTGAAGAGAAAATCGGATAGTATAACGGTAAAATAGCCAACCGTTTTATTGTAAGATGTAGGTTTGATTGCTATACTGGTATTACGAATATTAATATCTATAGATTTTTTAAAAATCATACATGTTTCTGTAGGCTAGTGACATGATTGCTAATTTTTGAACACTTTAATTGATATTATTATACTCATCCTTATATCTCAGTGAGAAATAGTCAAAAGCATGAAGAACTGCTCTGGTTTGAGTCTCAAGAATAAAAAATGAAGAAAAGAATGTTTTTGTTGTTCAATATCTCTTCAAACAAGTGATCATTATTCATCGAATTAGTTTCATTATACGTTCCTGTTTCGTTATTCTTCTCAAATAACATGAAATGTACTTTAATAAAATACTAATTTTTTATTAAACAAACAATTAAAAATCATTCTTCGATGATGAAGCTATTTGAAGTTTCTCTGTTTGTTCCTTGAACATTTTGAAAGTAGTCATAGACAGTTTCTTCAAATATCGATTAGATAAGCAATTTTCATCAAGATCTCATTTCTCAAGTACTGTTGTTTCGCATTGCAGTGCATCAGTCAAAATTGAGATGCCTTTTGATGTAATCTAGTTACACTTTAAGTTCAGATTTGTGCATTGTTTGTTGAATATTGCGTGTTTCACTACAATTATCATATCTTGATCAGTTAGTTATTGGTAAGAGAAATCTATAGTCGAGCGAAACTCGCATTTAACAAAAAGATCTTCGAGATGATAATTGCGATAGCCAGTCAGGTCTGAAAATAAAAGTTCAGATGCATCAAGCTGTACAACATAGAAGTAGATCATCCATAAAAATTAATTTTCTCTGTAATTAATAAAATTCTAAGAGTAAATTTTGCTCAAGATTAACGAAAAAGTCTTTTTTGTGATATATTTAATAAGGAAGACCATAACGAATTTTTCTAACGAGATATCGATCGATCAAAACGAAGGATATTTCAAATACTAACGTAACAATGAAAATGATCTTTTATATGAATTATATGTATACAGATTTACATGTGTGAAAAGCGTTATTGCTATAAAATGTTGTCATTACTTTTAGCTTTATTTTCGATTTCCAAAGAAAAAATGAAGGTGAAAAAAAGTATCAGAGAAATTCGAAATTATTTGGTTTCGATTTTCTTTCTTAGATTTTTCTAGCGAGTTTCATCCGTGATAAAGTATACGAGATAGTTTAGTCATATTCTGCCTTAATTATTAAGAAAGTACCGTTTAAGTTAACATTTTTCAGAATTTGTAATGTATATAGTTTTCTCTGAGTATTATAGTTTTCAGCACACTCGCATGAAGTTGGACCTCTATCGTATAAGATGTCCTGTAAAATATCGAGATCAAACGAAAATCACAAAGTCAGGACGCTTCCTATATCAGTCGATAGAGCATTCAATGCTGACCAAAACTGAAAATGTGACTTTGAACCAGAATATTGAGTTTATTAATTTACGAAAAATTCATGATATTATCCAACTCGAGTACGGGTAGTATTTTTCAAAGCCTACAAAAAGGAGGATTTGAATTAGTAACGAAAAATCTACCACGATACTATTACATGAGCGGATCAAAACATGTGATCACTATTCATGTTCATTAATTCTATATTACTATCTTCTCATATGCAACACGCACAAGCGCGTACAGATAGATATTGGTACAATGGGTATAGCAAAAGTCATGCGCAAAAGCTGTCTAGGATTTATTTGCTTTTCGACCTAACTATTTGAAATGCTTTCTCAGAACGATAGTCAATAAGAATGGATTGGACAACTCATTGGAAGGGTCTTTAAAAAAATATGAGGATTACTTTGTCTGAAGACCTAGTATTGGCCAACAATTAAGTCCTCGCTTCCTACTTAGAAAGGCCAAAAGTAGGTTTTTAGATTTTCACGTAGTATTGTAGCCTGAAAATGATCATCCAAAATATTTATGAGTCTAATAGAAAACGAAATTCTTTGATGGTTTTAGAAAAGCTTTTAATCCAACATTCACAGTAAATCAACAGCTTTTTATGCTTTTATAAGCCGTTTTTCTCACTTTAAGGGAAACTTCTATAAAAAATATCTATGGTACTATTCAAATTGCGAAACTTCAAAAACAAAACTGGAAAAAGTCGAAGTACAAATGTAAAAAACAACATTTGTCTATCATTTGACGTATTTCCCAGATCAATATGTTAAAGTTGGAGTTTGTCAAAAAAAGAAAAACTTAAGTTAATCCGTGTCCAAAAAGAAACATTTTCATCTTCGTCAATCAAAAGGGAGCCGAAATCGATTTCTGTATGGTATAAAACTCTGTAGGGTATCCTCAAAACGACAATCTCCACAGTGGTATATGTTCTTCAATTTTTTCTGCTAAAAATACTCTTTCCAAGAATAGATTAGCTCATTCAACGCAGCTTTTGACGTTAATTCCCACTTTGTATATCACTATTTCATATGTTTTGATAGAAAAAAATCAGAAAATATATCAATGTGAAAAATTTCCTTTGAATGGATTACTAGTANGAACCATCGAAGACAATCATTGGATCAATCGATTCCAATTCTATTCTAAGAGATTCAGTTGGACAACAATGTCTTCGATTTTATTATTATTTTACTATTTATGATAAAGAAGATTGGGGTCAACGGATTCAAGTGTTGATTAGACCTAATAATGAAACTGCCGATGAATTTTCAATTAAAAACCTTACAATAGTGAATATGAACGAAAATAAATGGGAATTTCAATCTGTAACATTTAATTCAACATTTTCTCGTTACACAGTAAGATGTTATTTTTTTCAGAAAAACTTATTAAGAAATAAAAATTTTGAATTTTTAGTTAGTCTTTTCTTTTTCTGTTGATGAAATCAATCAAACAGTCGAGGTGATGTCAAACCAAACGATTTATTTTGCATTAGATAATATAGAATTATATGATTTTAATTGTTCATGTAAGTGAAATGAAGAGAAGAATTTGCAATAAAACTGTGAACAAATTTTGATTTAGATGTGAATGAACAATTGACTACTTCGACAACAATGCCAATGCAGAAAACAACTACAATATCGACTTCCACAACATCGGAAACATTTGGTGGACAAATAACTTCTGGGACACGTAAATAACTAATGATTTCAAGTTATTTTTTAATATTTTTATTTTTCATTTAGCAACAGGCTCAAATACAGGATTAATTGTCGGTCTTACATTGGGTCTTGGGATCCCCGCTTTAATTGGGATTGCTGTTGGTGGTTATTTTTGGAAAAAGCGCAGAGATAATCACCAAACAGAAAGCTTCGATCTTCCGATGGTAAAAAAAAGTAGCAGGATAGCTACTAAAGCATTAACGCGTTAAAATGTCTTTTAAATTGATTCTTATTTTCTATCCTTTTTAATATGTATCTTCTCATTTTCATTTTTATTATGCGTGTATAATAAATAATAGTGTGGAATATCCGATCGACCTGTTTGATCAAAAGTCAGTGAAAATTCGAATAACACTTTTTTTTAATGTTGTTTCATTTATGTGAATTTTCATATACTTTTTAAAATATATTGTCGACGTTGCGCACTATGTTGAAAGTAATTTTTGTTTTTAAATCATGAAAGTCTCATGTTCGTAGTAGATGATTTACGAAACAAATATTAATTAACAGTATTAAGTGAAAGTTTATTAATTTGTTTTTTACAACAAAAAAAAAGGCGAGAATTATTTAACATTTTATAGACAATAATATTCATATTCAATTGATTCATTCATTAGTCTCGTTATTCTTGAATATTTAAATGATCATTTTTCCATTGTTCAATAAATCTTAATGTTTGTTTTCTTTCTTTTGCTATACAAATAATTGTTAAGAGAATCATTATGATTGTTATTAAACTCAATATGACATGTCCATAGATAACAATATTATTAATTGATAAATGAATAAGAATTAAAGTAAGTCGACCAAGAAATTCTAATAGAAATCCTATTGACCAAATACTTGTTATTATATAACATGTAGAACGAAATGATGAACAATGTGTATAAAACCATTCATAAACTTGAGCAACTTCTTGTTTATAAGATAATTTTATTATTGAATGTTCATCATTATGTTGTTCATTAATTGATTCATGTTCAAATATATGATCAGGTAATCCAACTTCATGTCGTTTTATTGGTACTAAATCTTGATAAAAATAATAAGCAAGTGGACGTATATGAAAATAATATTGACAACATTGTAATGGTATTAATGTTAAACTAAATATAATCGATAAAATTCCAGTTATAATAGATTTTTCTAATAGAAGTATAAGTGGATTATGTGTTATAAGTGCAACAATAGCCGAAATAAGAAAAGCAATAAAAACAATAAAACCAAGTGCATCAAATGTTCGTGATAGAATACCTTTTATAATAACCATAATAAGTGGTGGCATACCAGCAATTAATAGAGCATAAATTGATTTAATACGTTTTTGAAGAGAAAAATAAAGAACAAGTGGAAGAATAAGATCAACAAGAATAGTAATAAGAAAACGTCGTATATGATGTTTAAATGTATTCCATATTGAAAATTGAATTTGTTCAGATGCAATAGGATTTTGTTGTTGAATAGATGAAGAATTCGAAGCCATTTAATAAATTGTAAAATCGAAATAAAAATATCTATAATTTATTTTGTTAATTATTCATTATTGTAATATTATAACATTTTAATTTAATTCAATATTAATGTCTATTATCATATAAAATATATTGTTTTTATAGAAATTTTTCGTCAATAAAATATTTACCATTCTAAATAGATTCATTGTTTTATTTTTTTTTCAAAACGATCGGTATGCATTATCATTATTGTTCGTTTTTGTTGTATCTATTCAAAATCAAGATTATCATAAACATATAAGTAAATACAAACTTGTCTATAGCAATAATATGCGTTTCTGTTATCCATATATTTTCGTAGTCGATAATATACCAACCAACATGCGTTCGCATGTAAATATATGTTCTAGAAATAAGTCAACCTGAGAAGAATAATTGACAATAATCTGCTATTATTTTATAAATAAAAATGAGAAGGTGCGTTTTTGATTTTACATGATTTAATCTGAATGCTGGTTTTAATGCGTAATCTTTTTTACTGTGATTTTTTCTTAAATTAAATTTAATATTACTAATATATCTAAAATAAATATTGGTACTATATAGCCACAGTATCATATTTATGGATTCATCGATTTTATAGAAACCTAAAATATCGATATATTTTTTTTCTTCTGAATAAAAAACGTCATTGGAGTTGTAAAAATAAGATAAACAATACAACGATATGCATAGGCATCCATCTTTGTTCAAGGTATCAAAATGGAAAGACCAAAGTAAACTTCTGACATCTATCATTCATGGAATTGAAAACAATATTGAGACTAAATCATTAATAATAAGCATGTGCTTTTACTTTAACAAGAAATTGCATTCTCTAAATGTTTGAACATATTCAAATGATATTTCTATGTAGTTCTATCGTGAGAAAATAGTATTCATAGTCTAACAAGATATTAATAAATGTGTGTGCGTGTTTGACAACTTTACTTGCTGAATTGTATTTATCAGTAAATATTGACTAAAATCAATAATGTATTTCTATTATCTATTTTGTGTCTGAAAACTGTCTCAATTAATTCTATTCTCATTTTATTATATGAATCAAAAGAAAAGATAATCATTATAAATAGCTTTATAATTTTTCTATATTGGCAGAAGACGAAGAAACTAATACCTTCGATTTCTAGACATAGACATCAATTTTTCCTTTTTTGTGAACTCAACATTCCTAAAATAAAATATGTTTATCTTTAAGAAAAAGTATTATTAAGACATCCTTAATTAAGTTTTTGGCGTGTTCTTTTGTGTTACAAACACCAATAGCATGCTGTAAAATTATCTTATACTTATGTTTATCAATAAAAACAAATGAAGTGTGGAAAGGTAGTACTATTTACTCGTTTGTTAAATGAAAAAAATAAAACTATATTGTTGTTTTTCATCTTTTCATTAACATTCTATAGTGAATGTCGTTTTCTCTGCAAACAATTTTTACCATTTTTATGAGTTATTAATATTAGTGATAAGATCAAACGAAATATTTGTGTATATAATCTAGTGGCACAATCAGGAAAAGGCTCAGCCTTTCTGTCTCCTAGAAGGCAAGGCTTTAAGTTCTACTTCAAAAATAGCTTGAGTTCTCTCTGAATACTTTACCGTAGAATTTTGGGTTCCATTGCAAGCATGATCAGAGGATTTCATCCCTACTCTCTTCTACATCTTGTTTTGCAGTTACACCACTGGTATTATCGCTCTTTCTTATATGAGAACGATTCATTATTATTACTTTATGTACGAAAAATATGTTCCATTTCGTGTCTTATTATTCTAACAGCAGTAAAAGGCAAGAGGTAACTTTGATGGTATTATCTTTTCTTGATGAATATTGTAAAAAATGTAAACAAAAAAAGTATCTTTGCCTTTGTTCAACTTATACATGTTGACTTTTTGTTAACTATCTAAATGATAACTTCATTCATTTTGCTGTTATAATTTTTATTTTGAAACTATTTATAATTATTAGAGAATGAGTCAGTAGCACAAATAACATTATCAAATCGATAGTAATTTCGAAGATATTTATTTCTACTCTGCATTTATAGACTCATTTGAATTCGTTCATTTGTATTACAACAGGTAATAATAAGCAAGAATGTGTACTGGAGAAGATTTTCATATTAGCTACTTGAATTTATTATGTCTTGAGTATTTCAATATTAATTGGTCAATATGTCGTGTTAAAGCTTTTTATCAACAGAAAAACAAAAATATTTACTGTATAAAAGTAATAACATTACCAGATGCATCGTGTTTGAATTTTTTTATTCTATAACACGATATAATGTTAGTGGAATTGCTATTCCGTGTACTGATACTGTTGACAGTGCAATTCAAAAGATTCGTCAAGTTTCAAATGTACTAGTTGACATCATACTGAGTTTAGCTGAAGTCTACATATGCAATACTTATTGTATAAGAATAAGATATGGAATCAGTCACAATATAATAATCAATATTTATCTGTGGACTTATTTTGACTTACAAAGATCAGAATATTCGAATACTGTTTTAGTTTTCATCGCTCGCAATGAAATAATAATCATCAATCGTACATGGAATATTAAACTAGAATATGATTCAAGAATCATTTAACTAGAGCTATTTTCTTTTCTTTTAGAATTTGATTTAATCTCAACTAATACGTTAATTACGAAAGCATCTATGTTATCATTAATGGAATTTACCAACTCATCAACTTCGTGAGATATTACTATAACGATTAAGTTAAATAACAGAGTCGTTTATTATAAAATGAAAAACCTTACATCTTGACAGAGTTTTATATTCTTAAATATGAACACTATTGTTTTTTTGTCACGAAAAAATATCTGATTGATGCAGCAGTAAATTCGCTTTCTCTTAAAGTACAAAGCTGGATTTATCTTCGTTGTAGTTTTTTCTTGGTAGCCTTCTTTTTGTTTCATGCTGCTTAGTTCACTTGTTGGTTTATTATACTTGGTTAAACCGTTTTTCATGTTAAGTAAAGTTCATTTTATTTTTATCATTTAATTGTTTATTTCAAAGCAAGGTAGTTCAGAGTGGATATAATTACATGGTTTTATAATTGACTTACAATCGAGATGACCCAACTTTGTTGAAGTAATATGTATCTTACATACATATATCTCTTCGAAAAATAGGTTAAATTATTCCTTAGAATGTTACAGATAAAATCTTAAGCAATCGAACAATAGTCAATAGTATAGCAAGACATTATCTATGACATGATCAAAAATTAATAATCGAAAATATTAAATTTACTTTTTCTATCAACTCTTGTGCAGCTTCTCTAATCTATATAGCATGACAGAGAACTTCAGTTTTATATTATCTTCATAGTTGTCTATTGAGAAGTCGACACAAGTAACAATGGTTTCAAGTGATGTTAGCAAATAAAAAGACGTCATATTTATATAAAGAGCATTCATGATTTGAGATGGAGCAGTAGATGATACAGATATCTCTCAACAAACATACAGCAGTCGTGAAAAAATAATATGTCTTGATAATAATTGATCGAGAATGCATAAAAATAGTATTGCTTATTTTTTCATAACAAAGTAATTCTGTGTTCTATATCAACGTCGAGTAATCATTTTTGAAGCTTGATAAATCGTAAAGTAAAATACTATATTGTAAAATCAGTTTTTCCTTTAAATGACAAACCTTTTCAATGATTCATCAGGCATTCTGACAATAATTGTTTCAAACTTGTTAAATGAAAATGTTTTTCGTGTTGTGTACGAGCTCTAGACAAGTTTTTTTTTACCAGTTATCGATTTGTGACTGTTTTCAATTAAGGTGGTTTGCTATCTATTAAAAATACAACTATGAAAACATGTGACAAGTCATACTATTCAAAAATAAATTGGAAAAACTTTTGAGGATTTATGAATCATATTCAAGGCGTGATTCGAACTGTAAACATGTTTTCACTGTATGTTTATCAATAACAACATAAAAATCCGACGTATTTCATCATTCCTAGTGTGAAGATGTTAATTTCTACCTACAAAATAAATGAAAATAGTTTACCTATATTTTTAACAATAGAGATAAGCAAATAATTTATTTTCTAATAAATCAATAAATGTAGAATTATTTTAATGCAAAATCGTTTTTTTTATTTTAACATAATACGGGAATTTTAGATCTTAATCGATCATTTTCAACCTACATACCAGGACTTTTACAACAGAGATGTTATAAAACTTGACAACAAAAATCAAAAGGAACAAAGGAAAAATGAAAAAGATGCAAATATCTTGACTTTTGAAGTACTAACACTATGAACTTGAATATCATAAACATATACATCATAACCGTGTTTTTATTCCAAATACCTAAAACTTACTCTCTTTATATGTATAACTCATGTTTGAAATTTCTACTTTAAATATAATAATTATGTATGAATGTAATTTAACATGAGATTTTTAATTCAATTTCTAATAAATCAATAAATGTAGAATTATTTTAATGCAAAAAATCTTTTATTTTATCATAATATGGAAATGTTCATATTGGTAGTACTTCAAATGTCAAGATATTTCCATCATTTTCTTTTCATTTTTGTTGTCAAGTTTTGTAACATCTCTGTTGTAAAAGTCCTGGTATATATGTTGAAAATGATCGATTAAGATCGAAAATTCCCGTATTGTGTTAAAATAAAAAAACGATTTTGCATTAAAATAATTCTACATTTATTGATTTATTAGAAATTGAATTAAAAATCTCATGTTAAATTACATTCACACAAAGAATTTATGCTAACAAATAAAAAGAAATGAAAATTTGTCTTCAAGTTCGAATCGACCATTTCTACGCATTTGCTTTCATTTCTTCGAAGATGTCTAGTCAATAAAGTAATATTTTAAAGAACAAGAAAAACAAATCTTTCAATATGCAACAATATGTAAAAATAAATTAATTTAAAAAAAGAATCGCTGTTAAACATGCAAGTCCATGCGAACATTGTAAACAAATACTTGAATGGAAAATATATTGTTGAAAATACAAACTATGAACACAATAAAAAATTTTGGAAGAATTTTATTTAATTTTTGTTTTAACTGTTAACATTTTTTTATTATAGAAAATGTTATTTGGGATCATGTTGCATGTGAATCCAAAAATGATATCGTTGTTAATAGAAATGAAATTTTTTCAATTGATATAGTCATGAAACTTCAGTACAAGTTAATATTACACAACAAGCTAAAAATTGGTTTGAAAAACATGAAACAGATAAATGGTCTTAAACCACAACTACTACTGATACTGACTGAACACTAAATAGAACAATGGAGTAAAAGTTTAGGACAAACAAATGAAATATATTCGACTTAATTTAACTAATTATTTTTTATTTAAAAAATTATATTTTTTTAGAAAAAGATCAATCTTTAAGGTACAAATCGATGTATGGTTTTTGCTCCTTTAACAGGCGCCAGCTTTCGTGCTTACAAAATATTTATTGATAAACGTTTTTTCAACATATATTATTGAGCATTTGTTCATAAGCATCTTCATGCACCAATTAAAGAAAATGTGTCATATTATTAGTAAAATTATATGTACAAATGATCATACGCATTGTACATTTCCAAAACCTGCACAATCTTATATTAATATTTTAGAACATAGTGAATATAATAGAGAAAACACCAATGAAAATACTTTTGTGAATTTTAAAAGGTAAATAACATCAAATTCGTTTACATTTCATATAATAATGTAACATGCATGATCTTTAACTATTCGTACAGATCGGGGAATAACTGATGCACTAACAAAATAGGATATGTCCACATCCGCATCAACATACCCAATTAAAATTCTAATTCTGATAAGTTTAACAGGCATCCCCATGTAAAAATAAATCAAGAAAAAACGGGATTTTAATCGATTTTTTTGTGATTAAAAATCGATTAAAATGAGACGATTTTAATCAGATTTTAATCAGATTCCTTGATTTTTAATCAATTNTTCCTATTGTAATAAAAGAATGTATTTATATTAAATTAATAAAACAAAAATGAAATCTTTACACAAATTTATTTAATCAATAGAAAAGCAAAATGCTAAAAATTCATTGAATAATAAGTAAAATTTTCACTGATATCAATAATCTTCTCTTAAGAAGTTAATATTCAAGTGAATAACTTAATTTTGCCGATTAAATAATAACATCTAAAATGTTTTTGCTTTTGTTTTTGGAAATAATATATTATGGCGAACAAGATGATTTTATTTGATTCTTTATGTTATCGTACACAGTAAAAAAAAATAACAAAATGTCATCAAAGAATATTTCGTTATACAGATGTTATCTTTTCATTATCATCATTACTTCTTTGTATTTAGAATGTTTTAGATCTAAATAAAAGAAAAGAAAAAAAATATTCTTTGGTTTATATATGATAATGAAACAAGTTCGGTTTAATATTTTTGGTATGTAACGATATGAAGATCGTTGACGTGAATATTTAACTTATTTATAGTTTATCTTTCAATATTAACAATCTGTGATTCTCAAAGATTGCTCTATTATTGTGATTTCGACACGGATCTGTCAAGTAACTGTAGATTTCAGAGGACAACAGGAGGACCAGTTTTAGAAATTCTCTATGGCAATTCGTCAAATGCTGCACCTAGACAACCTTTGTCCGATGTTAAATCGATTTGTAAGTACGTATATATAAATTAATAGTTAATTATGAAATTTCTCGATATTTTATAGTGTCATTAACTACTCCTAATAATGAACCTTGTATTTTTCCATACACAAATCCACTACAAACATGGCCCAATCACTTTTGTCAACGCAACTCAGAAACTAATTATACATGTCCGACTCTATCTAGCACGGGAAATTGCAGAATTGGTAATTTATTATGAATAACTTTTTCAATTCAAATATCTTTCTAGTAAATATATTGTATTAGGAAAATATGCCTTGGTTCAAACAGTTAGAGCTGGATCGTTTGATCATATGTATACAACTATCGATACTATTCAGAATCATGTCGATAATTTTCAATGTCTTGACTTTTACTATTATATAACTGATAGTTCATCTAATGCACAAATTAGTGTTGGATGGTCGGCAGGTGCAGCACCTTTTCCTTTAACTGACGTAAAAGCAAAATCTGAAAATAAATGGCAACAACAGCAGTTTACGTATGAAAATCCACGACAAACTGCTTATAATGCAAGCATATTGATTTATTCTGATTTTTATTAGAAATTTTGATTGTTTGATTTTAATATTAGATATGGTTTCAAATGATTCGTGACGGTGGAAGTGCAGGATTCTCATTTGCTTTAGATGAAATAAAAATATTTGATGGTTCATGTGGTATGAACTATTTAATTAATGAATACTTTTTTAAATTCAATTTTATAATGTTTGTTTTTTTCCCAAATAGAATCTCTTACAACGATCCTTCCAAACATAGTATAAGTATATTTCAATTTCACACAAGACATAATTTCTAATCGTGCTTTCTAGGCTATTTCCAGTCAACCAATGAGCATAACAGATATCACTTCATCTTTGCCAGCTGATGGATCTGTTGCCACAACTTCGCAGTAAGAAAAAGAAAATAACTAAAAATTTGATCCAGAATTGCAATTTATTAATATGCAATTATAGAACATTGATAAATATCGATATTTTTGTTGATAGTTCTACAATGGGAATAGAAGTGTGCAAGGGAAGACTTAGAAAATTTTTCTCGCGAGGGAACTGTCCAATGTGATATCTCGCGTTTCATATGGACATATGACCGTAACACTAGATTTTTTATCTTACGCACAATATTTATTAAAACATCGACCAAACGAATTTTGCCGTAAAGCTTTGCCTGGAAACAGCTCTTGAAGTTATTAGAATTTGTTAAAAAGTTTAACCGACAAGAATGGTGCCATCTCAAATGCGGAGTATTAATTCAGGTGACTTTCTGGTCAGTGAGGATATATGGTACGAAAAAAGCTTATCCTGCACATCTCTACCTTGATACTGTTTTGATATTTAAATCTTGTAGGGTCTTTCAACTAGGGTAGTATTAAAAGAGAATGAGATAAAAACTTCGTAGAATAAGGTAAGAGTACAAAAAGAACTTACCCTGCATTGTGCTAAACTATTATGGTGATTCTACATTTAATGATTAGATCGAAGAACAATGATACACCCATGTCAATATTGTCTTCTGAAAACGCCACAGTAAGGTTCTTTAATATTCATAAATTTCGGCATTTCTAGTAGTCAAAATCAATTGTAGATTACCACACAATTATTGTTTACGGTTGCGGATTCTACAACGATAATTAATCATACGTATATCAATGGTGAAACAACGACGAGCCCAACATCTACGGCATTGCTTTTAAATACAACTGTAACGTCATTAACTAGGTAAAGCGAATATTGTTTTCTTGTATAAAATACAATTTCAAATTGTAGTATTAGTCATCCGATCTTTATTAATGAGACATTAATAGCGACAATCGAGTATGTTCTTGTATTTTATAATTAACATATATTCAATCTATTTTCTTATTGGATTATTAGAACTAATACAGAAAAGACTACGATGTCAAATGTTATCGCAACTAGTCACACTATATCAACAATATTAGTATCAATCGATGAATCTACAACGACATCAGTGCGTATTTGATACTTTTTACAACATAATAAATAACACGATTTGTTAAACGCGACAGTATAATATGTAACTAATTTCAATAAATTTATTGATTCAATATACGAATAACAAAAAACATGACTTGAAAATTCATTGTGAAAATTTAATCGAAAAAAATAATTAATTTCTTATCTGAAATTATCAAATTTGATTTTTGTATGTTTTAGACGTCGTCAACAACACCTTCAATTACGCCTAGTCAGTATTCTATGACCATATGCATGTTTGGATAATTTATTACTAATTCTATTTTTCATTCAGCAGAAAAATCTGATTTGCCCTTGATTCTTGGTCTCGTACTTGGCATTAGTTTGCCATTCACTTTTTTCATCATTGGTACTGTTGTATATTATTTTAAAATTGTCAAACCTAAACAAAAAGTTACTGTTCCTGATTCCAGTGAAAACGAAATTATAATGCAATCGATGGATATTACTGATACTGCAAACACAGTTGTTAGTTAAATCGAATACAAGCGATTAAAAATTTGCGGATGTTTTCTTTCATATATAACACGTAATATCATGATGTATGAAAAGCTATTCAACATATTTCATTTTTCATAAATGATTGTCTATCTTAACACTAGAAATGTTTGCAAGACAAAAAAGGTATACATACTCATCTACACCAAAGAAAAAGAGATTGCGTAATATATTTTCACTTTTCGTCTTTTCGATGGTTCTTTTTCTTTATGAAAAAATTGAAGACAAGAATCAATTTGATTTATCATTTCTCAATATGAAAGAAAAAAACACCTGAATACAAAGGTGTAAAAATGAAATATCAAGGCATTTTAATTATTTGATCAACAAGATTTCAAATAAAAAGCATTGATGTTATCTGCTTGTTTATTTCGTGGTCACGGAATATTTTTATTGTCATTTAGTGTTTGTACAAATAGTAGACATTGAATAAAAACGTTAGCGAATTGGCAAAATATCTGATCGTTTGAAAACGAACAGTTTCAATATAATAATGCGAAATATTTGTGTATTCGTTGGTATGTAATGATTAGAAAAAAAAGATTAGGGCTTAGTTAAGGCTGCAGCCGTTTTCAGGTAATTAATAGAAAGGAAATAGAAGTAAGTCAAAAGAAAGGAATGATTTCAGGGTTAGCTACAGTAAAATCGGCATACAATGAAAGAAACGATTCAAAGGCTGACGAGTGATAGGAACTCCAAAACAGTTAACTCAACCGCATTTCATGATGCTTCAATGATTGTCTATTGCTTCCAAGAAATATTTGAGCGATAATCCAAAATGCTCGATAGTGTCAGAACTACATAGTTGGATAATTCTCAAAAGCAAAAGCACATTGTTCGTCCTGAACTTGAATTCGGGTTCAATGTATCCCAACAAAGAATATAAATACATATGTCAAACTATTGAAATTAATTTTCTAAGTGTTTCTATGATCTGTAAGACAGCTAGGCCATTCCGCTAGTTCGACGTCAGATAAGTAATGTGAAAAAATCAAAATAAATTCTTTTTCAATGATATATAATATTAGAGAGAAGCATATAAATTTAATATAAGGATGAATGCTTTATGATTGAAATATGTACACCCAAATCAACTATGTACCATTCATACACCTATAAACATACAATATTCTCTCTAATCTTAAATCATTGTCTTAATTTTAGCGCTGCATATATATATATATATATTTAATGTTAGATCAATCATGAGAAAAACAGAAACTCATAAAAAAAGAAAAAATATAAGATGATAAAATATGGATCCCGACAGGGCGTGTTATCACAGGAAATCATAAGTAAAAATATCAATCTGACATTTCTATAACAATAGCATCAGGATTTTAAGCCATGGAGGCTCAGCCCTTCTTTGTCCTTCTGATGCGCTACCACCACATTTCGATATATTTTAATTGTCTAAGCAATTGATTGATTATATTTGTCACCTTGATTAAAGATTTCAGCAAGAGTCATTGGTTCAGTAACATCTTCGGTACCAAAACCTAATGTATCCGATAAAATCTTAGAACTCTCTAAATCTAATTTGTTAAATTCATAATTAGCAATCAATCGTCCTTTACGTAAAAGAGCTGGATCAATAGTTGTTAAATCACAATTAAATGTAGCTATAATTTGTTGATGCATTGCATCACCTAATAAACCATCAGATCTATAAAGATGAAGAATAAAGTTAGCAAAGGCAGAAAATAATAATGAATTAACTTACAAATTAAGAAGATTAGCAACAGCTTGTGATGGTGTTGCAGATTCATTTCGATCTTGAATAATATTTTCTGCATCTTCAATAATAAGAATTGCATCTTCATGTCGCATAAGAAAAGGAAGAAATTCTGGTGATGATATTTCCTTGGCCATTTCAGGTGAAACATAAATCAATGTTTTTTCTTCAATTTCTTGAATTAAATATCGAATATAATGTGTTTTTCCTATTTAATAGTATCAATAATAAATCATTTGATAGTAAAATTTAGTATATAATTACCTGAACCTGGAATACCATGTAAAAGAACAATGCCTTTTGATTCTTTTTTATTTAAATTTTTAAGAATTTTTTCATGTGTTGGTACAAATTTTTTGCCATAATGAAGAGCAAGATCAGTAATTAAAGGTTTTTTAATTCGAATTCCATCAAGATAATAACCACATTGATTTCGACAAACCATTTGTAAAATACATGATTTCGATGAATAGACAATCATTTGAGAAAAATGAGTTGATAAATCTTGTACAAATGAATCATGTTCAGGTAAATAAAAAATTTTGATTTCAGATACAATTAAAAAATAATTATCATCATAATCAGCTTTTAAATTATTTTTATTTTGAACATCAGAATCTAAAGATGATTCAATAAAATTAATCATAATACCATTGCCTAGATCAGATACACGTGATTCAACATATTTTTGTTTTGTACGTCGATGATATTTTCGTGTAATACAATCTTTATTGATATCATGTTTTAATTCATCACGAATATAATTAAGAATTGTTGTAACATGAAAACGAACGTCATCGTCGTCCGTTTCACAGGTCAAGGTACATGGATATGTATGATAATTATTGAGAAAAAGTCGAATTATTGGTATCTCACCATAATAATTTTTTGGACCAAGAGAAATAAGAGCTTCGACCGATGTATTAGAACACGTACTTGCACATAAAGAGTGACCGTTTTGATCACTTGTTGTATTCACTATATCTTTCATGTTCATCTATGATAAAATGAGTAAAAAACGTCAAGTTTTTATAGGATCTAAAAATGCTCTTGCATTTCTCCATGACAATGAAAGAAAAGAAAAATAGAGAAAATTGTGCAATAACTGAGCAATATAGCGAGTGACTATAATAAATGAGTCATTTTAATTTCAAAAGAGTGAAATAAGATTTTATCTTTGATAGATTAGTAAGAACATGAATCAGTTCTTTCATAATAATTTGATGGCATTAGACAGAATGCATTAATAATCATGAGTTTGTTCTATTATGGTTACGTAGGGATGGTAATGCAGTACAGAAAGACCATCAGTTCG